AATCTGTGATACCTACAACACTGATGAACCTTGAGAATACTGTGCTAAGTGAAATAAGCCGTGTACAGAATGACAAATACTGCACAATTCCACTCACATGAGACATCAAAGTAATGAAATCACACAAAACACAAGTAGAACTGCAAATGCCAGGGGCTGAGGAGAGCAGTGGGGAGTGGCCATGTATGGGTATAGTTTCAATCATACAAGATGAAAAGGTTCTAGAGATAATAGAGTATGTATGTTAACAATACTGTATACTTAGAATTTTGTTAAGAGAGTGTATTTTATGTCCTTTGGGTTATGCTACAATACAAAAAAGATGCAAAACATCAGCCAGAAGTGATGAGACAGATAAAATGATCTACCTTTGAAATGAATAACTTCTGATCATCAAAACTTATGACCAAGAATGAGAAGCAGGCCACAAAATGGAAGGAGAATCTATAAAATATGTAATTGTCAAATGACTCATATCCAGAAAACATAAGTAACTCCCATACATTCAAAAGACAATTCTACAGAAAAATGGGAAAAATTCTGAACAAGCATTTAACAAATGAATATAACCACCAAGTGACCAATATATAGACACTTAACCTCAGTAGTTGTGGTGAGCCGCTTCTGCCGTTTCTGCAGATTATGGTCGCCATTACAAGATGACGCTGGCTCCGCTGTGGTCTGTGACAAACAACTCCTTATCTGGGAGAGTTGGCACATGATTTTTCACCACCCTGTGAGAAAGCTCCACGCGGCAGCTTTGCATTGGGGCTTGGGATGCTTTATTAAGGCTGGGAGGGGCATCAGAGAGAGAGAAGAAATATCAAGGGCCTGAATAAACTGCTGAAAGAAGATTCCTGAGTTGCGTCTTCCTTGCGGGCAAGGGGTCGCGACAAGTGGTGCCGAAACCCGGGAACCAGAACTTTCAGCAGTCAGGGGTGGTGCACCGGTTAGTCCCAGGTAAGTGGGATCCGCGACTAAAGCGGGGTTAGTCCCAATAAGTGGGATCCGCTATCAAAGCGGGGTTAGTCCCTAGTAAGTGGGATCCGCGACCAAAGCGGGGCAGCTCCTCTGTAAACACAGAGAGAGCATTACATTTTATTGCAGCTGCACTGTGTACTTTCGCTTCTACTTTCGCTTTTGTTTTCTGTGTTTCTTTTGTTGTGTCATTTCGCTTTTGTTTTTTGTGCTTCTTTTGTTGTTGTGACGACAGGGACGCTCCCCTGTAAAAGGAAGAGAGCGGGGACTTTTGTACTTTCACTTTCTTTATAGCTCTAAAAACATTATGGGCGTTGCTTCTTCAAGCCCAATTTTGTTGGCCCTAGATGGGTTGTTACATTCAAAAGGACTTAAGATAAAGCAGAGTACTTTGCAGATGTTTTTAAGAGAAGCTGATATAGCGGCTCCTTGGTTTGCTTTTTCAGGGAGTCTTACGGTTCCCAGCTGGGACAAATTAGGGAAAGATCTAGATTTCGCTCATGAGCAAGGTACCTTGCAGGGTGGCATTATACCACTTTGGAAGTTAGTTAGAGGATGTATAACAGATGGTAAATGCCAGGAAGCTGTGAGTGAGGGTCAAGCTATTCTTGAGCAACTGCATGAGGAAAAATCTGAAGGATCATGTAGTGAAGTGGCAGAGAGTATTAAAAGTAACAGTAGTGAGAAGGCAAAAGAGCCTGAAGATAAAAATAGGAGAAGGCTCTACCCAGACTTGACCGAATTAAAAACGCCTGAGAACACAAGCGACTCAGAGAGTTCTGAGGACCTTGATATATTGTTACAACAACTACATAAGATAAAAATGAAAAAGAAGAAAAAGGAGACACAGGGCACGCAGGCCTACTGTAAGAAGGGGAAGGGAGTTAACATCGGTCAACAAAACTCTGAGGAGGAGGAGGTAGAATATCTAGAAGAAGATATGGTGCCGATTGCCCCACCTCCGTATGTGGGGGGGAGCCAAGGTTCCGGGAGATCTTTTCATGCACAAGTTTGGAGGACAGTTAATACAGATATGGGACTTGCATACCCTGTATTTCAGGACAATAACAGGGGAAGATATCATGAGCCTTTAGACTTTAAGATAATTAAAACCTTGGCAGAATCTGTCCGCACTTATGGCATAGATGCCGCTTTCACTCTCACTCAGGTGGAGGGACTTACTAAATTTTGCATGACTCCCTCAGATTGGGCTAGTCTAGTCCGCGCTTGTGTTTCCCCAGGGAAATATTAGGAGTCCAAAGTTGGCTGTTTAATGTTTCTGGCAGTACCCAAGACTCGGAGCGAGGTAGGAGGCTTAAAATTTCTGCAAATAATTCACAATTATCTAATGCTACATTACCCTCCGCAGCAGTCCGTCTCCAATCTCCGTTCCTGTTTCTTTTGGCTAATGTTACATCACAGGGGATGCTTAATTGTTCTAATATTACCTGTTATTTGTCTGAGTGTTGGAATGGCTCCTGGACTACGGCAGTGGTTATGAAAATTCCAACTTTTGTCCCGATCCCGGTTACTTCAGATCCAGAGTCATTTCCTATTGTTGAACTGATTAGAGCCCGTAGAGATTTTGGAATTACGGCAGCCATAGTGACAGCTGTGGCGGTATCTGCTGCTGCAGCAGTTATAGCTGGAGTAGCCATAGCCAGCCAAATTCAAACTGCTGCCACTATTAATCAGGTTATTCAACAAACATCCACAATACTTGAATCTCAAAGTAGAATTAATCAACACATTTTATCTGGGATTCTGGCTGCTAATCAAAGGATAGATCTGCTTCAAGCTCAAGTTGAGGAATTGTCTGACCTAGTACATTTGGGTTGTGTTGATCAACGTGCACATTTATGTATAACCTCTGTCAGATTTTATGATTCCAGAAATGCCTCCCACATCATCGGGGAGTATCCATCCGGAACCTGGTCCATGGCAGCGGAAGACATGATCCAGTCTCAACTAACCCAGATAGCTGTCTTGAACAGTACTCGTGTCGATCCTGTGACTTTGGGTCAATTCACCGATTGGATATCTTCTGCTTTTTCCTTCTTCAAAGAGTGGGTGGGAGTAGGCATTTTTGGGGCAATGTGTTGCTTCAGTGTTGTGCTTTGTTTGTGGCTTCTCTGTCGCCTTAAAACTCGCCATGCACAAGAAAAGGCTATGATCATACAAGCTCTTGCAGCTTTAGAAAATGGCAACTCGCCTCAAGTCTGGCTTGCGCATCTTAAGCAGTAAACCTTTGTCATGGTCGTTACACCCCAAGTTATTATAACATTGCACTGGGATCGACATGACTTTCCTTGTTATTCTCTTAGTGTTGGAAAGCCCTTGCACTCTGCCGGTCTTACTGCCGTTGCACGCAGATGGGTTTCCACACTAGTGCTTTTCTATCGCCTTGAAGTTCGTGCCTTTCTTTCAGGGTGCTGTCAACTTGTTTGTCATTATAAACAGCCACAGTTCAACCTCAGCTATCCCCCTTCGTCCACCATCGTCACGATACAGGATGCGAGGCAAGGCACTGCACTTGAGTGATCCTTGACGAGGACCTCAAGGAGAGCATGTCCTATTGCATGCGGGTTAGACGCGTTCACGCCCCGCCCCACGAAAAAAGGCGTCGGCTGATATGGCCTCAGATCTGGGGAAGGCGCCTCCTTAGGACTGAGCCATACTATGCAGCCACTTCTGCACAGTGGGATAGGACCTCTACTCTCGCCTGTATTGTTTTAAGAAAACAGAAAAGGGGGAACTGTGGTGAGCCGCTTCTGCCGTTTCTGCAGATTATGGTCGCCATTACAAGATGACGCTGGCTCCGCTGTGGTCTGTGACAAACAACTCCTTATCTGGGAGAGTTGGCACATGATTTTTCACCACCCTGTGAGAAAGCTCCATGCGGCAGCTTTGCATTGGGGCTTGGGATGCTTTATTAAGGCTGGGAGGGGCATCAGAGAGAGAGAAGAAGAAATATCAAGGGCCTGAATAAACTGCTGAAAGAAGATTCCTGAGTTGCGTCTTCCTTGCGGGCAAGGGGTCGCGACAAGTAGTCACCAGGGAAAGTCAAATAAAACCACAATGAGATGCCATTACATAACTCATCAAAGTGGCTAAAATGCAAAGCACTGACAATACCAAGTGTTGTCAAAATTATGGGGCAATGAAAATTCTCAAACGCAGCCGGTGAAAGAAGGCAAATTGATAACTACTTTGAAAAATCATTTGGCAACATCAATTGGGACTGAATACTATGCTTTCTGTAATTTGGGAATCTCATTTCTGGATGCATAGCCAAACAAAATGCCTACATTTGTTTACCAAAGAATACATATAAGAATGTTCATAGCTGCATTATTTTTAGTTACTCAAAATAGCTAGAAACAACCCCAATGCCCAACAACAACAAAGACAAGTAAATTATGGTGTCCAGTTCAATAAGAATGAATGAACTACCACACCACACAAATGGATGACTCTCACAAACGAAATGTTGAGAGAAAGGAGAACATATTACATGATTCTGTTTCTACCAAATTCAAAAACAGACACACTTAATATATGGATTTAGACATCAGGGTGATGCTAATTCTGAAGAGGAGTTGTTAGTGATGGTCCCAGAGGGAAATGTGAGGGGAGACCTTGGAGTGCTAGTTTCTGGAAATTCACCAAGATGAATCCTTTAGGTTTGTGGTTCTTCTTTAAGTATAACATAACAATTAAGTTCACTTTTTAAAAAAAGAAAAGAACATACTTTATCATATATATGACTTTCAAAAATATACAAAGGGAAATAAGGTGGGTGGGTGAGTGAATGAGTGGATGGATGGCTGACGGCTGAATGGACAGAGTACTGAATGGGCGACCAGACAGATGCGCATCCTGTAATCCTATTTGAGCAAAGGCAGTGGCTGTGGTCTGAGACCTCCCTACCCACAGGGTACACGTTCATGCCAGCTTATGTTCTATCAGGGACAGGGACAAGAATGAACATGGGTATGGGTATGCTTTGGTAGGCCCCATACCAATGGCATCACCGGAGAGTTTCCAAGCCTTGACGTCCCGGTCCTGGCCAGCGCTGATGACCAGTTGGAAGGTGTCTATGTACAGGATGTCCACAATGCTTTCCAAATGGCCTCTCCAGGTATTCAGGAGTTTGGGGGGAACCAGGGAAATGATCTGACCAGCCACAACCTATAGGGAACAGGAAATGACTTACTCCAAGGCTGTCACACAAATTCATCTGCAGGCATTCAGGACTGCAGACAGCAGAGCCCAGTGGAAGGGCCCTGGATCTTGAGCATTCTTGTTCTGGACACATTCCACATACCTCACTGGTGACCTTTGGTATTTCCCAGAACTTCTCTGGCCCTGTCTCCTTTGGTAAAATCATAAGAATCATTTTCAAATGTCTACATTATTTATCATCTATACAGATTACCCCTTTTGAACCTCACCACCTTACAGGACATATAAGATTCTCCGAGTCTTACAGAGGAGATAAGTAAGAGTTAGAGATGTTGCCAGGACAAGAGTCCAGGTATTCTAAAGTTCTTCAGTTGAACATTGGGAGAAGATATATATCCAAAATATCTAGGGGTGAGTAAGTAATATATAACATCATACCACAGATAATACAACTCTACTTAACTGGAAAATGGATGAAAATTAACAGGCCCATTTTTAAATTAACAAGATTAAAAAGGGGCATTTATTCTGCTATAGTCAAGTATATAGTTAGGTCAGAATAATGTAAACTATAAACAGAACAATGGAAGAAAACTAAGAACTCAAAAAAACCAACCTGAATATACATAAAACTTTGGTATGAGTGGCAATAGAAGCCAGGCATGGTGACGCACACCTGTAATCTCAGTGGCTCAGGAGGCTGAGACAGGAGGATCACGAGTTCAATCAAAACCAGCCTCAGCAACTTATAGAGGCTATAAGCAACTTAGTGAGAACCTGTCTCAAAAATAAAAAAATAAAAAGGGATGGGGATGTGAATCAGTGGTTAAGCATCCTTGGTTCAATCCCTCGTACAAAAAAAAAATAGTAGTAATAAAAAGCATTATTCAATAAACATTACTGGGATACCTGATGAAATATTAAGAGAAAACCAAATCATTATCTTTTTTTTTTTTTTTATGGTGCTGGGGATTGAACCCAGGGCTTTGTGCATGTCAGGCAAGCACTCCACCAACTGAGGGTAATCTGTATATCCCCCAGCCCCCAAATCATTATCTTATATCTTAAAATAAATACTTAAATGATTGAAGATTATTCTTTTTTAAAAAAACATCTTTATTTTATTTTTATGTGGTGCTGAGGATCGAACCCAGCGTCTCACTCATGGTAGACGAGCTCTCTACCTCTGAGCCATGACCCCAGCCCCTTGAAGATTATTTTTAAAGAATCAACAAACTTTTAAAAGAAATAATAATTGAAGGTTCAGTAGTAGAGTGCTTGCCTAACACATATGAGACCCTGTGTTAATTCCCAGTATAGGGGAGAAAAAAGAATAAACATTTACCTTTTCTCTGAATAAGAAAGTAATAGGTAATCAAAAATTTGCCTGTATCTAATCAATGCTTATTATTATCTGTAGCCAAGCTACTCAGTATGAAGTAGGACCTCATTATTGTTTTGCATGCATTTCCTTGATAGCTCACAATATTCAGTCTTATTTCATACACTCACAGGCCATTTGCATATCTTCTCTGAAGAAATGTCTGTTTAGCTCTTTTGCCCATATTTTGATTGGGTTATTTATATTTAATTAAGTTCTTCATATATTCTAGTACTAGTCCCTTCTCAAATATATAATTTCCACTGACCTATGTTTTTACTTATGCCAGCACTACACTGTCATGATTACTGTGGCTTTGGATTAAGTTTTGACCATTTAAGTATTTATTTTAAGATATAAGATAATGATTTGGTTTTCTCTTAATATTTCATCAGGTATCCCAGTACTTTTTAATGAATCATGCTGTTTTTTTCTTTTCCTTTCTTTCTTTTATTTTTTTTAAGACTTTAAGATTTATTGTTGTTATCATGCTATGTGTTTTGGTTTTGGTTCTGGGGAGTTTTGGGGAGGGGGTGTTTTTGTTTTTGACTATTCTAGATCCTTCGCATTTCCACATGAATTTTTGTGTCTACAAAAAAAAAAAAAAAAAAAAAAAAAAAAAACCAGCTGAGATTTTTACTTAAACTATAATGAATCATTTTGGAAAGCATGCTATACTAATAGTGTTAAATCTTCTACTACATGAACATGGGATGTGTTTCCATTTATTTAGGCTTTCTTTAATTTCTTTTAATAATGTTTTGCAGTTTTCAGAGCACAGATTTTACACTTCTTTTGCTAATTAGTTCCTATTTTAATTTTTTAAATGCCATTTGCAAGGGAAACATTTTTTCCTTCATTTCAATTTTTAAATGCTCATTGTTAGTTTATCAAAATATCTTGATGTTGTATATTGATCTTATATATTCCATTCCATTGAATTAATTTATGAGCGGTAATAGAATTTTAGTAGATTTTTTAGGATTTTCTATTTACAAAATCATGTCATCTACATATAAAGATAGTTTTAGTACTTCCATTACAATATAGAAGCCTTTTATTCTACTTTCTTTCCCAAATGACCTTCCAGTAAAATGCTAAATAGAAGTGGCAAGACTGGACTTTCTTATCTTATTCCTGATATTAGGGGAAAGTATTTGGTATTTCAACATTAAGTTAGCTGTGAATTTTCATAGATGGTCTTTACAAGGTTGAGGAAGTTCCTTTCTTAGCTTATGGAGTGTTTAAATCAGGAAAAGTTGGTCAATTTGGTCAAATGCTCTTTCATCATCTATTGAGATGAGCTTTTGTATTCTCTCAGTCAATATATTGTATCACATTGATTTTAGATACTGAACCAACTTTGCCTCCCTGGGATAACTCTCATTTGGTCATGGTATATGAATCTTTCGTATGTTGCTGGCTTCAATTTGCTAGAATTTTGTTTAAGATTTTTGCATGTATATTCATAAGAAATACTGGTTGGTAGTTTTGTTTTCTTGTGATACCTTTTCTGGTTTTGGTATCATATAAAACTCTTTTGGAAGAATTTGTGGAGAACTGGCATTAATTCTTTTAATAGTTGGTAGGATTCACTGAAAACATTTGAACCTTGACTTTTCTTGGTGGGAAGTTTTATTCTTGTTATATTCAGATTGATTCTTCAGATTTTCTATTTCTTCTTTAGTCAGTTTTAGTTAAAGTTTTTCTAAGTTTTGTCCATTTTTTTATAATAAAATTTTTAAACTGTCCTGAAGTCCAATAATAGGTAACAAGTTAAATGATATGATTCTTTTATACAATTAATATTTATAATTCTATAAAGTAAAATATATCACTTAATCATTAGATCTGACTTTCAAGAATATGTTATATGGCTAACATATGCAGATTTATAACTGTGACACCACATTAACAAAATGATCATCTGATAGATGCAGAAAAATCATTTGAAAAAGCTCAACACCTTATCATAATAAAAACTCTCAAGAAATTAGGAACAGGGGTTGAGATTGTGGTTCAGTGGCAGAGCGCTTACCCAGCATGTGTGAAACACTGGGTTCAATTCTCAGCACTTCATATAAATAAATAAAATAAATGTCCATTGACAACTAAAATATTTTTTTAAAAAATTAGGTATAGAGGGGATGTACCTCAACACAATAGAAGCCACCTCTGACAAACCCATAGCTAACCTCATACTCAACATAAAAATTTGAAAGCTTTTCCTCTAAGATCAAAGATAAAACAAGAATGCCCATTCCCACCGCTTGTTTTTTTTTTAATATTTATTTTTTGGTAATAGGTGGACACAATATCTTTATTTTATATTTATGAGGTACTGAGGATCAAACCCAGCACCTCAAACATGCTAGGCAAGTACTCTACCACAGAACAACAAAAATAAACTCTTAGTGCTAATAAATGAATTCAGTAAAGTTGCAAGATACAAAATCAACAGACAAAATCAGTAGTGTTTCTAAACACTAATAATGAAATATCTGAAAAGGAAAGCAATAAAACAACCCTCTTTACAATTGCAACAACAATAACAAAAATACTTAGGGGTAAATTTATCCATAGAAAACTTATACACTAAAAATTATATAACAGATTAAAGAAATTGAAGGTCTTTAGGGAATAGACCAAGAAGGGGAATAGCTGGGTCAAATGGTGGCTCCATTCCCAGCTTTCCAAGAAATCTCTATACTGCTTTCCAAATTGGCTGCACCAATTTGCAGTCCCACCAGCAATGTACAAGTGTACCCTTTTCCCCACATCCTCGCCAGCACTTGTTGTTGTTTGACTTTCTAATGGCTGCCAATCTTACTGGAGTGAGATGGTATCTTAGGGTGGTTTTGATTTGCATTTCTCTGACAGCTAGAGATGGTGAGCATTTTTTCATGTACTTGTTGATTGACTGTATGTCCTCCTCTGAGAAGTGTCTGTTCAGGTCCTTGGCCCATTTGTTGATTGGGTTGTTTGTTCTCTTATTGTCTAATTTTTTGAGTTCTTTGTATACTCTGGATATTAGGGCTCTATCTGAAGTGTGAGAAGTAAAGATTTGTTCCCAGGGTGTAGGCTCCCTATTTACCTCTCTTAAGAGCATGCTACAGAGACACTGCTACATCGATGTTCATAGCAGCACAATTCACAATAGCAAGACTGTGGAACCAACCTAGATGCCCTTCAATAGACGAATGGATAAAAAAAAGTGGCATTTATACACAATGGAGTATTACTCTGCATTAAAAAATGACAAAATCATAGAATTTGCAGGGAAATGGATGGCATTAGAGCAGATTATGCTAAGTGAAGCTAGCCAATCCCTAAAAAACAAATGCCAAATGTCTTCTTTGATATAAGGAGAGTAACTAAGAACACAGTAGGGACGAAGAGCATGAGAAGAAGATTAACATTTAACAGGGATGAGAGGTGGGAGGGAAAGGGAGAGAGAAGGGAAATTGCTTGGAAATGGAAGGAGACCCTCAGGGTTATATAGTGGAGGGGGTAGAGAGAGAGGAGGGGAGGGGAGGGGAGAGGTGGGGAGGGGGGATGGTGGAGGATGGGAAAGGCAGCGGAGCACAACAGACACTAGTATGGCAATATGTAAATCAATGGATGTGTAACTGATGTGATTCTGCAATCTGTGTATGGGGTGAAGGTGGGAGTTCATAACCCACTTGAATCAAAGTGTGGAATATGATATGTCAAGAAATTTGTAATGTTTTGAACAACCAACAATAAAAAATTTAAAAAACAAAAAAAATAAAGAAATTGAAGGGGAAAAAAACATAAATGAAAAGATAGCCTGGGTTCATGGGTTGGAATAATTAATCAAGAACAATATGCACAAATGGACAGGCCACAATGAAATCCACTATTCTGTATAATTAATAGATACCAATACAAACTAAATTTAAAAAGAATGATTGTTAAAATGTCCATACTACCCAAGGCAACCTACAGATCCAGGGAAATTCTTATCAAAATTTCAATGTCATTGAACAGAAAAAACAATCCTTACATTTCATAGAACCACAAGAGACCCTGAATAGCCAATGTCATCTTGAGCAAAAAAAACAAAGCTTGGGGCTGGGGCTGTAGCTCAGTAGCAGAGCACTTGCTGAGCATGTGTGAGGCACTGGGTTCGATCCTCAGCACCACATAAAAATAAACAAATAAAATAAAGGCATCCTGTCCATCCACAATTACAAAAAAGTTTAAAAAAGAACAAAGCTGGAGGCATCACACTTCCTGGCTTCAAAATATATTGTAAAGCTCCCATCATCAAAATAGCATGGCACTGGAACAGAACAGACAGCCTACAGGTACATTTCCAGTTATGGACAAATGATTTTTGACCAAGATGGCAAGAACACACAATGGGGGAGGACAGTCTCATCAATAAATAGTGCTGGGAAAACTGGATATCTACATACAGAAAAATGAAACTGGATCCTTATCTCACACTGTATACAAATATTGACTCAAGATGGGTTAAAAACTTAAACATAAGATCTGAAACTGTAAAGTTACTAGAAGAAAACCTAGGGCGAACACTGGTCTGGGCAATGACTTGTTAGATATGGCCCCAAACATAGGGAACCAAAGCAAAATAAACAAGTGGGACTACAGCACACTGACAACCTGTACGACAAAGGAAACGATCAACAAGGGGAGAAGAAACCCAGAAGAGTGTGTGTGTGTGTATGTTGGGGGTGGGGGGCGGGGGGGGGGAATAATTGTAAACCACACATCTCATAAAGGGTTAATATTCAAAATATATAAGGAACCCAAGCAACTCAACAGCAACAACCCAATTTAAAAATAAACAAAGGACTTAAGGAAGAATGAAATTATGGCATTTACATTTAAATGGAGGAACCTGGAGACTGTCAAGATAAGTGAAATAAGCCAATTCCAAAAAACCAAAGTCCAATCTTCTCTCTGACGTGTGGAGGCTGACTCACAAGAGGTTGGAGGGCAGGGGTTGCAGGTTCACCTGATTGGAAGAGGGAGGAGCAAGGGGAGTAGAGCAGGTTGGGAACGGGAAAGACTGTAGAATGAACCAGACATAACATTCCTATGGTCATATAGGAACACGACCAGTGCAACTGCATACCATGTACGACCACAGTAGCTACAGGAATGGGAAGTTACACTCCATGGATGTAGGATATGTCAAAATACACTCTACTTACTGTTTAACTAAAAGAAAAGAATTAACATCCAAAAAATAATAATTTTCCACATAAGTAGAGTCATAATCTCAGTAAGTGAACCAGCTCCTTATGGGGACATTCTTCTGACTGACCCTCCAGTAACCTTCCTACCTCCGTCTCCTTCAAGGGAATGTAGTGTGGGATGTTCATTTGGAACCGTTTAGGAATCAAGATCCGGAACTTGTTCTCTGTTTCAATGGGGATCTTGCTCTCACTGGTATGCAGTGGCTGCTGGTGGATAAGTATGCAGTAATCCTTAATGTCCCAGATCTAGGCACAAAGTGTGGGTTATTGACTTAGCAGCCCTTGACCCAATCCTGCTCTGTGGGCTCTTCCCAAACTACTCTTTAGGAGCAGTTCTTCTAGCTTTCAGACTATAACCATGGCCTTAGGGTCTTCTCAGCCACACCCCTTGATTAGCCAGCACAGGCATGTGACTGGCTCAAGGATGAGACACGCCTGCCCCATAAAGCACAAAATCAGCTCCTGAGACAGCTGATCACCTGAGACACCTGGCTGGGGATGGAGATGTAAGATAACAGTGGAGCAGAAGAATCACAGAGAAAGGCTTCTTGAAAGGGCCTTTTGGTGGCCATTTTGGTGCCCAGGCCAAAGCAGGAAGGGACTCCTAAGTAATCCACCCCCAGTGTTTTACAAATGAATCCAGTACCCAGAGGAAGCAGGGGGTAGATAAGGACCTTGGAGCAAAGGGGTGGGCAGCATTTGACTGATGCCAGTCCCCCAATCTCAACAGTCTTTCCTCACCTTGATGTGTCCTTTACAATCCCCTGTGATGAGGATCCAGTCATTTTCATCAGTGGCCATGGCACCCACAACCACATCCCCATTATCCTTAAGGTCCACAGGGAACTTGCCCAGCAGGCCTCCATTCCCGTGGATGGACCAAGCGTAGATGTGGCCGTCGATGCAGCTGCTCAGCATGGCAGCTGTGTGTGGCTGGCGAGGCCTGGTCTGCAGGAAGATGATCTGCGGGAGAAGTAGGCCTGGCTCGGCACAGCCGCAAGCCAGCATTTACTCTGGCTGCTGTCACACATTCCTCTGGGACCTGGGCAAGTCACCACACCAACCTGGTCCCCAATTTCCTAGATGTCCCTTTCTACTCAGCTGGTGATGCGAAACATCACACTAGACTATGAGCTACTTGAGGGCAGGGATTTGAGTGTGGTTTTTGTTATGGCTTTGTCCTCAGTAGCTACAGTGATAATAGCACAATAGCTACAATGACACATAGTACAAGATCAATAAATGTTTGTTGAAAACAAAATACACAATTTCATTCCCTAGTACTTCCCTGTTCCTTCCCCTTGGTTTGATTTGTCATAAGGCTCCAACAGAAATTTTCAAGACCTAGTAACTCAAAGTGATTTGAGGAAGGAGCTCATTCCCACTCACATAAACCTACAGCAAAATACCCATGTTTTCTAGCCAACTGCTGAGAGAGTATTTTAACCAAATTCTTTCTCAAGTCTTGCTTTGCTCATCCCTTTGATAATCCCCCCTCTGCTCACTTGAGCCTTACATGTCACTCCTGAGGCCCACATGGGGCCATGTAAGAAGCCACTCCGCACAGTGAGCATGAAGAGAGCTTCTTGGCTGTCTCCTGCTGGAAGCTGAGAGCACCATCATATGGCAGAACCAATCAGGCAGGGAACTGGAGGCCTTACCACTTCTGCTAAGTCATAACTTTACAGTGTGATGGCTTTTGTGTCCCCAAAACATATTGTCAAACAACAACAACAACAAAATCTTGATTATCCCTATTGCCATTGAGTCCAAAACAAGATACTTAGCCCACTTCCTATTGGGCGTTTTAGCTTGCTCAGTCCAGTGGCCCCAGACACAGGGGACCAAAGGTCCTTGACCACTACTGAGAAGGCCAGGGCATATGCATTATCAACAGGCTCTAAGGGGCACAGTTTAGCCCCCTGCGCTGGCTGCCTTCCCAGTACCCTGTCACACTTGCTTCCAAGATGGTCAGATAGAAGCGGTGGACAGGAAGACCACAGGCAAGACCCTTCTGCCAAGGCATCATTGCCCCACCCAACCTGAGCTCTTCTTCCACTAGAACCAAAACTGAAGCCAGAATTAGACAGGCAGACAGGCAAGAGTCAGATCCAGAGAATAGAGGGACTGGAAAAGTTAATTCCTTCAGAGGATAACCTGCCCCTGCTCCAACCTGCTGCTAAGGTAATCTGTCTCAGGGATTGTCCCTTCCCTAGGGAGTTGTTAATTAGCCCCCTTCCTGCCCAGAGCACTTCAACTTGGCCCCTATAGCCCATCTGCTTCTCACCTTTTGGCCATCCCCCCACCAAGGTGTGAGCTAGCAGGAAGGACAGAGAGAAAGGAGAACAAAGGAAGCCTAGGACACATAAGAGGGCAGAACACCCTCGCTGCTTGGGATACCAGGCCACCAGCTCCGGCCCCCTTCTCCCTCCCAGGAAAAGTCTATGTTACCCCCTTTTAAATAACCCCTGCTTCGTATGCTTGCCCTCGGTGGGCTTCTCCAATGTTATGCTTCAACCATGAGGGAGCAGGACACTGGTCACCAGTGGTATCAAAACCAGGGGTGACCCAAAAGCGCTGGACCTTCTCAACCAACCACCCAACTCCCAGAGAGAAGGGACATGGCTACTCTTGGAGCAAGAAGAAGGGCACTTAGAAGCCAGGGGTGGAGGTCAGCCTCAGAAGAGGGCGGCCTCACACAGAAACCACCAGGGTCAGTCACACAAATCCAATCAAGATTCATGACACAAATCTTTATTATATTTAGACCACCAGGCCAAGCAAAAAGCCCAAGGACTTCCCAACAGTAGCCATCCAAAGAGTTAAAAGAACTCAGGCTTTGAAGACTGTTAGGTCTCCCTCTTTATCAGGAGTGAGATATATCCGGGATCTCCTCCCTCGCCCCAATACATACTTGTTTTCTTCTTATTAACTTGCATTATTACTTTTTAAAAGTTTTTTAAAGGTATTTTTGGAAGAAAATTCATAACCTGAAGGGGGGAATGAGCTCCTCCCAGATCCCCACCCCACCACCACAGGGCCAGCTCTGAAGGTATCACCTGCCCCTTGTTTCTGAGTCCTTGGTCCCTGCAGCTGGATGAAGGGACAGGCCTGCCGCACCCTAACATGAACATGCAGTGCATTTTCAGGAGGGGCATCCAGGGTCAGACAGAGAAAAGTAGAAGAAGAAGAGAAGAGAACAAAGAGCCAGCCCCACCTGCATGGGGTACCCAACACCCTCCCCTCCCCAGCCCAAGCCCCCAACTAGGAGGGACACCACCCACATCCCTGGCTCTCCCTGACCCACCCTGAGGAGCTGTTCCCAGACAGAAACCCTGACTCCAGAATGCTCCCTGGGCACTGGGGCCTTTCCTAGCCACACCCTGCGCCCCCTCCCCCTGCCCCTGGCCCCTGGCTGAGCACAGCGACCTTTTCCACAGAGGCTCTGGACTGTTGCAGCAGCAGCTTCTTCTGAAGTTCCCCCTTTTTCCTTTGGGCCTCTTTGTACATTGACTGTTTGGTAAAGGTGTCTCTTGCCAGCCCGGATCTATCAAGGCTGAGAAGCATCTAGAAAGAAAAATAGGTCTCCCGGGTCACCATGAGGGTATTGATCAGGTGGATGATTAAAGAGTAGCCACCCGTGGCCTCCCACAGTAGGGAAAAGTCCAGTGGACTATTTGGTGGGTCCTGAGCCTTAGGACATGCGGATGGCTAGGGAATCAACATTTTAAGTGACTGCTGCAGTCTTGCTCTCTGGGACAGAGACTTGAGTTTGTCTTTGGAGAAGACCCTTCCTTTGTCCTGGAAGTGATCACTCTGGTTAAAAGTGAGGCTCAAGGAACCCGAGGCCCCACTGCTCTAGAAGATTTAACTGCAGGGTAACCCTGAGCCTTCAAAGATGGCCTGAGTGTCTCACAGTATATAAAGTGTATGCATTTTAGCAAAAGTATGTCCCAGCCGATCACGCTTGGGCTGGTCTACACTGCCCCATGCCTGGCAATGATCATGCACTTGGAGAAGGTGTGTTTCTCACCCAAGCCTCATCACCCAGGAGCTGGAATTAGGCCTTGATTATGGAAATGAACACAGTGGCTCCTCGAGCACCACATGAGAGATCCCTGTGCTCATCATGGGGATACTGTGGTCACTGCTACAAGCCCAAGGCCAGCCACTCCTGATGTCAAAAGAAGTAGCTCCTCCTGCTTTCTCCCTGTCCCCCCGAACAGAACAGTCATTCAACCTTGGAAGGGTCCATCCTGGGGCCAAGATAGCTCAGAGAAGGAAGGAAGTACTTGGCCTGCAACTCTGCTTCACCCCTTTGCAGGCTGGTCTGCAAGGAGGCAAGGCTTGCTGGAGCAGCCAGGGGGTCTGTGCTCACTCCTGGGCCGGGGCTGGGGGCTCAAGCTTGAGAACCGGCCCAGGATCTAATACCCAACTTCAGGTTTCCAGGGTTTTTTCCTGCAGGCCCTGACTCTCAGTCTTCAGACTCTTGAGCCTGGCCTGGCATTGCCCTGGAAGGCAGCAGGGTCTGTCCTGCTGCAGCACGGGGGATCAGATGCAGTAGGTCTGGGACAGGGAAGGACTCTGCTCTCTGGCCATCTCAAAACAAGTGGGCTAATGGTGAAGTCACCCTGAAAAGGTGCATCCAAATAAGAACACAAACACAACAAGAAAGACGCAGATAGCGGGCGCTTCTCCCACCTTGTAGGGCACAGGAATGTAGGATCTCTGGTGTCCTGGGAGCAAGGGGGAGAATGAGTGGCTCATCACAGGGGGTGCTGACACCAGATTCCGCCTCAGGTTGGCATTGGTTGTCACCCTGGAGGACTTTTGGGGCACCTTGTGTACCCACTTCTTTTGCTTCATGCAGGGTTTGTTGGAGTGCCTCTCAGCCAGGCACCCCTCAGTTAGCACCTGTGCCAGGGAGAAAACAGCCCTGAGGCTCTGCATCATCTAGAGAGAAATCCAGGCGGGCACCACAGGGCCCTCCGGCACCCATGGTTTGCTCTTAGAAACCTTGTCCCTTTAAAGACATCAGACCAAACCTCTAACCCCATCCCTGGGCCCACCACTGACACCATGAGTGCCCACAGGCAGGACACTGCTCCTGTGAGGAACTCAGTCTTCCCATCTATAAAATGGACTGTGAGTTCCAAATATTGTCATGGTTGTGCGTAATGTTAGGGACTTCCAGAGGATAAAACAGATTCAAAACTGAAGCAAAACCAAAAATATCCTGAGCTGCTCTTGGGGAAGCACCACCCAACTTGGCAGAGCTTTCAAGCACCCCTCCCCAAAACACTTGGGAAACCCAAGGAGGAAATAACCCCTAAAGTCCCTTCCAGCGTTAGTCTGCCAAGACATGGTAACTCTGACCACACAGGTTCCCCAATTCCCTCCCCAAGCCTGCTGAGCAGTCTATGCAACACCTAATAAGGACAGGAGCAGTACCAGCTCAGGGGCGGACTGCCCAAGTTTAGATCTACCCCTTGTGCGTTGTGTGGCCTCCAGAAAGGTGTGGACCCTCTCTGAGACTCAGTTTTCTCTTCAGTCACATGAAGATAAACAGAAACTGCTATCTATCTGTGGCTCTCTGCCTCTCCAGAACAAGCTCCACCTCCCCTCTGCTTCCCAGGTGCCCCCTACCCTCCCTGTCCCCCCCTGCGGCTGGCTGCCCTCAGCAGAGACAAGGGTGAGAGGCGAGCGTTCCCCCTGCCACCACCATACCTTCTTGGGTTTCAAGGGCAAGGGGCTGAAGGATGCATTGAATCTCAGGACGGGCTTCAATGTGTTGACGTTCCAGAAGAGGATGTCCCCATTGTAGGAGGAGGTGCCGAGGAACTGGTGCTGGTACTTGGCCATGCTCAGGACATCCTCCGTGTGGAAGGTCTGCCAGTGGTAGCACAAGAGCACCGGCTTGGTCTTGTGGAACCTGTGCACGTGGCCAGAGGCAGGAGGGCCGAGAGCTCAGCCTTTAATGCTCTTTGGGGGAAACCTTGGCCTTTATGATTTGGGGAGCCAACTCAGAGGAAGACATTCTCTGGTGTAGGCGCTGGCTGGAAGCCCAGCCCACCGACCTCATTTCCTAAGCATCTACTACATGCTTACTGTATAACAGCTGTCTTTGGGGCTTACAGATAGTCTTAATCCACCCCTGTTCAGATACCTGGCAAAGATTAAGGCTTAAAGGGGGAAATCATGACCCTACAAAGGCCCTCTGAAAAGGAAGGGCCTGTTCCTGGTGCTCCTACCCCCTGGAATGTGTGTTCTGCCCCAAGTACCTCAGATCACACCCCACCCAGACACCTCAGCTCAGCTATCCTGACACCCCCAAGTCAAAGCCATGTTTCTACCTCCCCCATAGAAACCTCGGCTTTCTTCTTTCACAGCACTCAGAACACTTCATAAATGAAATTATTTGATTTATAATGTTCATATTCCCCCAAATCCATAAGTTAACCCATAATCCTCAATGTGAGGAAATTTGGAGGTGATTTGCCCTTGTGAATGGGCTTGGTGTCCTTGTGAAATGAAGGCCCAGAGAAATACACTGCCCTTTCCACCATGTAAGGTGACCATGAGAAGATGGCCACCTGGTAATGAGAAGTGGGCTCTCCTCAGACTCCAAATGAGCCAGTGCTTTCATCTAGGACTTCCCAACCTCCCAAACTATAAAAGATACATTGCCATTCCTTGTAGCCACCCATGGTACAGTATCCAGTTACAGCTGTCTGAGACGCCAAGACAAACTGGCACCAGAAGGAGCTGCTGCTGTGAAAACACCTGAGAACACACGCACACATGGCTTGGGAACTGAAGAATTAGGCAGGGGTGGGAAGTGTCAAGGTGTATGCTAGAAAAAGCCCTCATGACCACACCTGGTCCATTAAGAGTGACTCTGATGAGGACACAGAAAAGAGCAGCATTATAAGGGGAAAAATAAATATACACACACACACACACACACACACACACACACACACATATATATATATATATATTTTTTTTTTTTTTAACTGCAGTGCTGGGAATCAAATCCAGGGCCTCACACATACTAAGCATGTGCTCTATCCTGAGCTATACCCACAGCTCTCAATCTTTTTGAATATCTTAAGTGGGGATTGCAGATGTGGCTCAGTGACAGAACACCAGCCTAGCATATGTGAGGCCCCAGTACTAAAAAACACAAAAACCTCTAAGTGATCTTGAGCAGATCATTGGTAGAAATATGGATGATAAAGACCACTTTGATGAGGCCTCAGGAGGAAATGGGGACATGTGCCTAGAAACTGGAGGGAAAGCCCTCCTTTTTATAAAGCAGCAGAGCCTGGCTGAACCGTGCTTGCATTCTGGGGTTTGTGGCAGGTAGATCTTCTAAGAAACGCTAGAGCATGCAGGGCCGGGGGTTTGATCCCCAGCAATCTCCCCCACCAAGGACATGAGGGAAGCCAAAATTCACAGCCTTTCCCTATTGACAGAAATAAGCAAGCTTGCTGGGATGTGTCAGAAGAGGAGATGGGAAAGGACCAGCCAGCTCAACAGAAGACAGGCAATTATTCTCCAAGACAATGGAAAAACGACCCCAAAGGTCGTTTTTCAAAGATTAGAACTGTTCCCCGACCACAGGTTCAGCAGAAGAAGGGTGGCCTCATCACATCACCCTCCACAGTCACCTCACCTCACAGGTTCCATCCTCCACTCTGGCACCATGCTCCTTGGCCACCCCATTTACAGTGTGGCCCATATACAGCAGAGCCAAGAGGGCCTAAATGTTCCCACCACCTGGATTTCAAAGGGCAAAGCCTTCCAGCAGAGTCACGGGCTCAGACTCCAGCCCCAGAGCCCCAGCCACGCAGAGAACCACTGCAGGAGCAGGCCCCAGAACAGAGCCACCAAGGCAGCAGGGCTACACAGTCATGGAGGCAGGCTGCCTGGAGACCAGGGGCCCAACCTCTACCTGGATGGCTTCCCAGTGAGTCTTGAAAGCAGGACCTCCACCCCAGTGGGCCTGGAGACGAGAATATTAAGCCAAAGAGGATTACTTAAAGTCTTAAGGTCTGAAGGAGTTTGTCCTAATGAGTTTTGGACTTGTTCATAATCTGCCACTCCTTTCTTCTCTCCTATTGCTCCGTTTCATCTACTCCATGCCGGTCCCATGGTTGTATTTCAGAAGTACACTACAAGTTGGTATCACAGGTCACAGCTGAGGAAGTCTGGCCTCACCTTGAGTCTCATGCTGATTTAGATAATATTTAGATGGGGACTGAGCTTAGACTTTAAAGTTGATGCTGGAAAAAGTGCCACCTCATGGAACATGCCCCGTATACCCTCCCCACACTAGTTGCATTCTTTGGGAAAGATATCAACACTGCGGGTAATAATCTAGCTCAGCCAACCAAGGAACCAATGTTGGGGGAACCCTGGGGCCAAAGAATTTATGCATGTGAGAGGACACAAATTTGGGGGAGCCAGAGGTGGAGTGCTGTAGACTGAACTTTGTCTTCTCCCCAATTCATACATTAAAATCTAATCCTTTATGTGAGGTATTAGGAGGCGGGGCCTGGGAAGGAGATGAGGTCGTGAGGGTGGAGCCCTAGGAATGGGATTAGGGCCCTTATAAGCCCCAGAGAGACCCCTCACCCTTCAACCTGGTACGGTTATATAACAAGAAGAGAGCTTTCTATGAACAAGGAGTGGGCCCCCCACCAGACAGCAACCTGCTGACACCTTGAGAAAATAAGTGTGTCGTGTATAAGCCACCCCGGTCTACACTATTCTATTATAAAAACCCAGACAGACGGAGACACCCCCCCCCACTGAATGAAATGTTCCAGAAGAAGCAAGGTACTTGCTTCTTAGGATCACCCAGAACCTGGCAGGAGGCCTAGACATATCAGCCTCAATGAGTATCGAATGAAAAGGACAGTCGGGCAGATGGAGCGTGGCCCATTACCTACCATGGAGCTAGGACTGGAGGAACCCAGAGAGCAAGAACACCCAGCTGCCCTCCCCTCACTGCGCGTGCTGGCTACTCACGTGAAATTGGTGATTCTCTTACTCCACCCCGTCATGTAGTATGCTTTGTTCATATGGACAAGTCCACTAATCTGTTGAAGATGAAAGAAAATAAAGCTCTAAAGCTCTTCAGAGAGCATGGCTCTGGACCCCAAATGTCTTCCTAAATGTGCCAGCAAGAAGTCAAAACTCTCAGTCATAAGGATTCCCTAGAGTTTTGCCAGCATGCATTTTTCAGAGTATTTTCACGTCCCATTATCTAATTTAATGGACCTAGACCATCGAACTTGACAGATTTAAAGGAAGCAGAGAGGGCAGGTACCCATGATCATTGTCTAGAGGGAGGGATGGAAACACACAAGTGACCTGGCTAAGGTCACTTACTGCTACTAAGTGACAGCATCTGGACCAGCATCCAAACCCCAGTCTTCTTGGCCAAGTATTCTTGCTGCGTTGGTTAAAGGACTGCATTATAGGGCTCAAGTCCCATAGGGCTGGCTTTGCTCTATGTCACACCCACAGACTGTCCCTAAGACCTTGTCAAGTATTTCCAATTAAGGGTGAGTACAGTAACTCTGAATCCCATTCCCCCTTCCCAGCTAGAAATGCAATCCAAAACTCCGATATGTGAAATAAGAAGTGCTAACAAATTTAGAGAGTAAGGAGCACTTGTGGAAACTTAATAAAGACAGCCACTATTGCCTGTCTTTATTTGACGTAAGATGCCACAAGGCTCAGGCAGGTTGAGGACAGGAGTCTGCCCAGATGGTACGGCCTTTCAGGAACACATAAAACTCATGTTCCAGCGCCCAGGAGCTGCGGTTAGCTGCTTGAGGGCCCTGCCCTGGCTCCGCAACACACCAGACTGACCTCCACCTTGTCTGGGTTGGGAAAGGTCAGGAGGCATTCCCCGCTGTTGTAGTTCCACATCTTCATGGTGCCATCTCGCAAACCTGTGAGCAGACACCGCTCGGACTCGTCCAGGGCCATGGAGGTCAGCTCCACAAAATGTGTGCCAGACACGGAGAAATCCACCATTTTTGTGCCGGTGAACAGCTCCCACACGCACACGGTGCCATGCAGGCAGCCACTCACTACCTGTGGGGGAACACAGCACCAGGACAGCAGCACCTCCATGCCAGGGCCTCCAGCCTGTGCTGCCCCAGCACTCCGCGCACCCAGAGATCAGGCTCCAGGGCCCTCCTGCTGCAGGGCAAGCCATGCCTCAAGTCAGTGCCAGCTCCCGCGCTACAGCCTTCCTCAGCTCTTACTTTAGAAGGTAAAGTCTCCTTAACTCAGAATCTATCCAGAAAAAAGTAATCTTCGATTCAGGGAAAGAAAAAAAAATGTTGGCTAAAGCATCATTATCCTGATGAAAACAAAGAAGAAGGTAAAGAAAGGAAGAATATCCTAACTTATACTAACTGGACCCTCTGCGGAGAGTAGAGGACGGTCATGCGGCTCCAGGGCTTGCTGCTGCAACAACTGTCACCACGCAGCAGAAGCAGGTGAAGCTATTTCAGACCCACCCTCCCACTGAACATCTAGAGAAGCCTGGATTTACTTAAAGACAAAGCAGGAACTATTCGACAGCACTGAAGAGCCTGACGCACGAGAGGTGAAGGAAGCTAGTGTGGGTCTTGTGCAGAAAAACACCCCCATAGCAGATGCAGCTGCCCCGGCTCGAGGGCCCAGGCTGGCAAGAGCAGGGTGGGCGAGGCCCTGGCATCCTTTTCTGTTCCCGTTTCTCATTAAGGATTCCTTGTGCCCAGCCTCTCTGGGCCCAGAGAGCTCTACTCAGGCCCAGGGTGCTGCCCACTACCTGGGTCTTCCCCTGCCCACTTCCTACAATAAATAGAGCCAAACAACAGTTTCCCTAAAAACTAGCGCCCGGGAACAAGAACTATGCTGGGAGCCCCAAAGAGCACCCCACAGCCAGCGTTCCAGCTGACTCATGTAGAGAGGCCTCGGGCAGCCAGCCCATGGCCCAGGGGCTGAGGGTAGCTGTGTGGTACCAGTTGGTGCCGTTCAAACCTCATCTCATGGCCACCCTTCTGCAGGGTTGCTGCCTGCTCCTCAAATGCACCCCCGGGCACATGGCGAGGTCTGGGTCCTGCCCCATGTCACCTGGCCCTCCCACCAGCCTTGGAGGTAAGTCCTGATCACTTACCTGCTTAAAGATCTTGCTGTAAAGGACATTGCACACGGCTGCACTGTGAGTTGACAGCTTTCCTGTTTTCATAGGCTGCTGACACTCCAAATAGCCATTTAAGATCCCAATCTGCAGGTGAGGAAAGTCAGAGGGGCTCTGCCTTCAGTGAGATGGGCCCTCAGTGACTGGCCCCAGGGAGATGGCTCCCATAAATCACTCCATCAAGATGTCTAGATGGCACCCAGTGAGGCTCCTGGGCCACTCTCCCTACTCCAGGGCTTCCATTCCCAGAGCTAGGCCTCTCAAACCCTAGTGTCCCTAGAACCCCAAGGCAGAAGTCCAAGGTCCCTCTCTCCTTATCATTTCTGAGAGGCTAAATCCTCTATCAGGGTTCCCTTCTCAAGGGAGTGTCTTATTCATATATTCTCAGCTCTTGACAAAGAACTGGAGGTTAACCATGTTTGACGACTAAAAGGAACCTGGAAGATCTAACTTGACAGAGGTCAACAGGTGGTCCAGCACTCAGCAAGATATGGAGGAACCCACAACCCTCCTTCAAAATCTGCTATGTGGGGAGAGGCAACAAAGGCACAAGAGGACATGTGCATCTTCTGCTAGAGTGGCCCAGCCAACAGAGGGCGCGAGGACTCGGTGAAGCTCCACCGCGAATGATGTCCTCTTCTCCTTCCTAGTCAGGACTGCCCCGCCTACTGGCTGCTGGTTACTCCCACAGCCCCAACTGGTCCCAGGCCCCACCACCACTCTGGACAGTCCACTTTCATGCTTGTCCCTCAGGAGCAGGACCTGTTGCAGGTACCAGTGTGGTCACCACTCACAGGGTCTTCCTGTCATCCCGAGGACCTCTCCTTCAGAATCTTGCTTGGGCCCAGCCCCGCCTTCCTAATGTTCATGATTTAGTAGGAAAAACAGTCCTGCAACCGTGATGGGCCAAGGGGACTCAGGAAGGACTCCTGACCCCACCTGGGGCAAGCGGTTCCAGAAGGAGAGCCCAAGGGATGCGGGGGTGGGGGTGAGCGGAGGTAGCGGTGGCAGAGAGGAAGGCAGGCCAGGGCCCAGACACTGCCTTCCAGGGAGGCCTGAGAGCAGGAACCTCATAGGCCAAGCTGGAGGCCAGCAGCTTCAGCAGTCTCAAGATTGCTGTTAAGGATGTGAAGACTCTTGGGTGTCCCTAGCTGATGTGCCCCCTCTGCCCGTGGCCATGAGTCCCTCCCTCCCGGGACAACACTCACGGAATAGGTGCTGCAGATGAGGGTGTTGTCGGTCTCGTGGAAGCAGGCACTGGTGATGGGGCAGTTCCCCAGGGCAAACAGCTTCCCGCAGAAGGACTGCAGGCAGATGTAGTCCTGCATGTCCCACACGCGGATGTTCTGGGTGGGAAACAGGCAAATGGTCGGGGATCCTCGGGGACACGTTACCCAAGCACCCCTAACACACATGCACTGCGTTAAGTGTCTGTGCTGGTGACAACCCTGCACTGGTGACAACCCTGCACTGTCTACACTTATGCTCCAATAGCCCAGCCACAGGTGAGTGACAGCAGAACACAGCTCCATCCCAGGGCTTTCCCTTAGGCCTCTACCCTGCAGAACACCCCCACCCAGACCCCCACCAGCTCCCACTTCAGCCTCACTCATGAAAAGCCAGCCTAGGACACAGTCAGAGTAGGTACAAACTTAATTGCCAAAATGGCCTGTGTGTCCCCAAAGTAGCCCCAGTGCAGTCATCCTGGGTTGAGGAAAGTTCCTTAGAGAGGCCCCATGTTAGTCCCCCCAGGACCCATTGCTCAGAGCCACCTCAGAGAGCTACACAAGGATGGACTTAGAATCAACCAGACCAGTGCACGCCCCAGCTCTTCCCATGGCTGTCACAAGGATGTCAGCTGGACCATCTCCATCACCCACCCCGTACCTCAGATCCCTCACCAGAGGTGAGGATACCAGTTTGCAGGTGTTAGGAGAGTCCCCTAGCAGCCTGAGTGAGGACATGTTGGGAAGGGTGGCCCAGTGACCCAAGGCTCTGAAAATTCTCCATCTGCTGAGCCAGAAAACTCAAATTGTTTCCTGAAGGAGACCCTGGGAGCCATGGGCCTCCTCCGCATGTTGGCCAGGATGCTGGAGCAGCAAGAAGGAGGCGCAGCATCCTGAACTAACAGCTGCCCCTGAACAAAGTGATGCCCCTCACCCCAGGCACTGAGGAAGGTCAAGTCAGGCTGACAGCCAGGGCGACCAAGGAGGGGGTCACTGGGACAGCTGAGGCGTGCAGATGTGGGTGGGGCAGGGACCAGCAGGGACAGGACTCAGATGTCTCATGCACCTACTGTGTGCCAGATGCTGCCTGCTCTCTTACTACCTGTTCTCCTCTAAACCATTCAAGAGCCAGCCTATTGATGAGGAAACTGGCTTTCTTTCAGGTAAAGAAGCCAGACTGGGCTACATGGGAACCCTGCTCTGGTGGACTGATGTGAGCTGGGATCAGGACTCTACTGGGCACTGTCAAAGATCTTCATGGTGATGCCAGGCACCTCTCTGTAGGCCTTTGGCTGAGGAGGGACGTTACCCTGTTCCTCTAGGCCTCAGATGCCTCCCAGCATGGGTCCCCTGGGCTGGCTGAGCCAGATTACTACCCCAGCATCAGTGTCTTTCTCCAAGAAACGGAACTGAGAGCAGCACCTTGTCCCTGGAGATGCTGATGAGGATGCTGCTATTCTTGCTGTTTATGAGGAGGTGCATCACGGAGGTCTGATGTCCCTTCATCACCCACACAGGCTTTTTGGAGAATAAGGGGTTCCACAGGTAGATGTGGGAGTCATAGCCACCAGTCGCTGGGGTAGAGAAATGAGTACCAGGCCCCTGGGCCTGCACTGGATGTACAAGGCCCAGCGCCAGCCCTCGGATGCCCACCAGGCTTGCCAGATGCAGAGAGGATCCCTGCAACCCACCACCGCCCCTCCTGCCCCATCCTCCCACACCTGCCCACCAGAGCCTTCCTCATTACACCGCCTTCTGGTGCCCATGAGTGCTGACAAGAGCAGCAGGAGAGAAGCCCTGTGGGAGGCCGGATGCTGGACCAACAGCTTATGGGGGACAGGAAGATGACTCACCCAGGAAGTTCCTGTCTGAGCAGTAATCAAAGCAAAGAACTCCTTTTCTTAAACTCAGCACTGTGAACCTACAACATGGAAGGGGTAAGGGCTGCAGGGCAGGGAACAGCAGCCTCAGGGGCCTCTGAGGGAGCTGAGGCAAGGGCTCCTGGGAGGCCTGGGAAAGGCACCACCTCTCCAACCAGAGAGAAGAGCGCCCTAGAAGCTGCCCAGAGCTGAGCATTGTGGGCAAAACAAATGCCAGACCAACAGTTCATGGAGGAAGCACTCACCTCCATGAACTGTTGGCTCCAAAGGAGGAGGAGCACCTGGCATTTGTAAAGTGTTTTGCCTGGTGTCAAGGGCAAACTTGACATGATTTTCACATCAACCAAACTGGGACAGGTAACTTCCGAGCCAGGACACAAATCAAAAAAGTGAGGGCTCCCAGGTCCAGAGAGTGTCCTGACCTGGCTGCCCTCCAATATGCTGGTCCTTCTTATGGGTCACCTGGACCCCACACACAACCCTGAAGAGTGTCACTGGCCCTGAGCCAGAGACAAAGACCCTAAAAGGAGACGCTAAGGAACTTTCCCAAGGTCACACAGGTAACAAATTGGCGTGGGGTAGAGGACTTAGCCCCAGGCTGAGTGGGTACAGCAAGAAGTGGCCGAGATCAGCACGAAAGAAAAAGGCTTGGAGAGCCAGAGAACCCAGACAGGAGTTCCAGGACAGTTAGGCCCTCACACGTTGCTCTGTGCCTCTGCCCACATGGCTTCCTCTTGCCCACACCCATCCTGCCTGCCAGATCCTTCTACCGGATGTTCCCTTAAAAACCCAGTTTGAAGAGCCCTGTCATAAAGCGCCCTAGCCTTCTCCATTGAACTGGCCCACCTGGGAGTCACCTCAGATGACACAATGGCTTCCGTCATCCCATCAGGCCAAATCCTCCCTACCCACTGCCCACGGTGACATGCCTCTGCCCAGCTCAGGTGCCTTCACCTTTGTGTCAGTCCCAGCTGGTTTCTTAACCTTTGGTCTTGCTCCCCCTCAAACCCTCCCTTCATGTCAACAGCCACAGGATTCCTCCAAAAATCAAAGCTTCAAGAAGAACATATGGAAGTGCGTGTATTTCATTTATGGTCGAGTCATATTCACTGCCCTCCTCCATGTATTTTTTTTTAATTTTACTTTTTTATTTCATTTTCCATTCTAATTTGGGGGTTTTTATTTATTTATTTATTTATTTATTCTAAATAGGTATATATGACAGCAGAATGCATTTGATCCATGCATTTTTCTTTGTACTGGGGATGGAGTGCAGGGGTACTTAGCCACTGAGCCACATCCCCAGCATGTTTATATTTTATTTAGAGACAGGGTCTCTCTGAGTTGCCTCAGCAACTTTGAACTCATGATCCTCCTGCCTCAGCCTCCCTAGCCACTAGGATTACAGGCACGTGCCACCACACCTGGCCCTCCATGCATTTATATGCAGAGAAAATATTCTGGAAGAAGAGTCACCAATGGTTAGCAGGAACAATCCAGGCTGATCCGCTCGCACATTCAACAAAGGCTTGCCAGCTCCAGCTCCTTGCCAGGTTCCAGAGGCATCGCTACGATGCCCCTGCCACATGGAGCTTCCCTTCTGGGGGAAATAGCAGCAAGGACATAGAGACAGGGAGAGGAACAGTGACAAATTGTGGCAAGTCCTGCAAGGGAAACAAGGAGGTGGCTTTGACAAAGGGAAACTGAGGCACATTAATTTTGAAAACCTCTCGAAGAGGGTACAGAGAAGCTGAGACGGAGGAGAAGGAACTGGCCACAGGAGCACTGGGGGGAGGACGAGGCCTTGCAAGTGCAAGGCCATGGGGCTGGCATGAGGGGCCCAGGAGGAGAGGGCACGAGAGGACAGCTAGAGGAGGCAGGTCTACACCACTGAAGGCTCCAGGAGGACCCCTGCTGAGACCTGCAGATGACCGCAGGCAGGGACAGTGGCCAGAGGGCATGCAGTGGGGCTGCTAAGAAGGCAAGCAGCTTGGGTGCAAGATGACAGTGGCCTCAACGAAAGGGAGGTGTTGTGGGTCCATCCACCCTCTAGACAATGGCTCCCGACCCACCCCTCAACCTCGCTGCTCCTACCCCAGCTTCACTTCTGGCCCTAACCACCCAAAGAGCGCAGAGATCAGCTATGGGAAGTCGGACCCGCAGGCCCACTCCTTGGAAATCGAGGCCGACTCTAGAAGAAGAGTCTGGGGCCACAGACAATGGCACATGCCTATTATCCCAGCAACTGGGGAGGCTAAGGCAGGAGGATCACAATTTTGAGGCCAGCCTTAGCAACCTGGCAAGACCCCATCTCAAAATAAAAATAAAAATGGCTAGGGACATTAGTTCAGTGGTAGAGTAGCTCAGTGGTAGAGGGCCCCCTAAGTTCAATTACAAGGAGAAGGAAGGGGAGGAGGAGGCAGAGGAAAAGGAGGAAGAGTTTAGGTTGGCAATGACTGACCCAACCTTCAGAGGCCATACACCAAGACAGCATCTTCAAAAATGGGAGACCAGAAAGTGGTCAATGGTGCCCCCTGCTGCCCAGGGCACTGTACTGCATTCAGACAAGAAGGTGTCTTGGGAGTGTGTATGTCTAAATATACTCTCCAGCCTAACCCCGCCCCTGCCAAATTTATACACTCCAATCCCTCCATCTCTACCCATGACCAACTCCAGGGTCATCCCGTGGCCTGAACCACTGCAACAGCCTCCTCACTTATGTTCCCACCTGCATTCCTGCCCGAGCATGTCCAACACATGCCTCAGACCACACTGTTCCTCTGCTCAAAACCACAGGAGAACTCTGCTTACATCTGATTCCAAATAATCATAAAGAGACACCTGGACTAAGTACTAGGTGATGATAAAGAGGAGTGCTATGTGTTTCTATTCTGTGTATGTTTGAAAGTTTTCATAATAAAAACAACAAAAAAGCAGGAGCGCGCCAGGCAGAGGAGAACAAGGCAAAGGCCTGAGGCATCAGGGACATGGTAGAGCAGCAGAACAGAGGCAGAGACCATTCAGCCACCAGGGCCAAGCAACGCCCCACCACCCCGCCCTGCTCAAAGCACGGAGCCAAGACAGAGCCCCCCAACACACACACACACACCAGACATTCGCAGGGCCCCTCCCACCTGGGGTGAGCCCACGACTTGGTTAAGAGTGAGCACAGTTTGGGGGACTAAAAGGTACTGGACTGAACAGCAGCCTGAGATCAAGCTCTGGCTCAAACGAGCAAAGACAGTCACTTGTCTTCAGCACCTCCCTGAACCTCGGGCTCCTGTCTGGAAAGTGAAGAGGCCACCCAAGGAGCCCTGTGACCTCAGGACTGGATTTTTCCTGAGAAACAACCAGCAGAAAGTAACAGTGAGGGCCTGCATGGCCCTTAGCACCGTGTCACACCCTGCGACTCCCCAACAGGGACCTCCAATCTCTTTTATTCCCCCAAAAGACATGCCTGGGGCACAGACCATCGTGCAGGCTGCTCAGGAGCCCAGCATCACAGAGCCCAGGACTCGAGGGGAAGGCTGTGGGGGCAGGAGAAACCAGCCAAGGAGCGCCACAGGAGGGAACCCTTGAGATGTGCCACACAGCAGAAGGAAGGTGTGAGCCAAAATGACAATGGCGGCAGGCTTCTGCCAACAATGAGACCATGGGGACAAGGGGAATCCCACGGGATTCCAACCATATTTATAACACTTTGATTCTGAAATAGATATGCATTTAATATACACTTGTGCAACTAATAACTGATTTTTAGTTTTGGTTTGGGTTCAGGAGATTTAAACCATGGGCAATTTACCATTAAGCCATATCTCTAGCCCTTTTTATTTTTTATTTTGAGACAGGATATCACTAAATTGCTGAGATTGGCCTTGAACTTGCTATCCTCCTGTTTCATCCTCTGGAGCCGAGCCCTGGGATTACAGACATGAGCCACTGTGCCTGGCTAGATTTTTTTTTTTTTTTTAAAGGAAAGGTGGGACTGGGGGTTTCACTCGGTGATAGAGCACTTGTTTAGCATGCTCAAGGCCCTGAGTTTGATTCCCAGTACCATAAAAAAAAAACAAATTTCCTCAGGGTTAGAGGAATCTAGAATGAAAAAAATGATTGGAATCATCTCTGAACAATAAATGCTACCAGTTGTTGAACACTTTCCACGTACAGCATTATTCCCTCAAGGAATCCTTGAGATATTTATTAAGTTAAGGTAAGTGCTTTCCTTAACTCATTTTACAGATAAGCAAACTGAGGGTCACAGAGTTGAACCAATTCATATTCATATTCACTCCTTCCTTCAGGAATGGTCTTGATGGGCACAGTGGCATACACCAGTAACCCCAGCAACTTGGGAGGCTGAGATAGGAGGATTGCAAGTTTGAGCCAGCCTTAGCAACACAGTGATGCCTTCAGCAACTTAGTGAGACCGTTTAAAATTTAAAAAAAAAAAAAAAAAAAAAAGGTAGTGGGGATGCTGCTCAGTGGCTAAGTGCCCCTGGGTTAAATCCCCAGTACAGGAATGAAGGAGGGGAGAAAGGGAGGGAAAGAAGGAGCTGTTGGCTTCTGTGCTGAGCTGTGGCTAGAAGAACACTATCACATTCTTAGCACTGGTGTGGAGGCTGGAGCAATAACTGAAACCAGACTCCAGAGTGTGCACTCTAATTCCTGACCTATGTCAGCCCATAGGACACACACTGCCTGCGCCTAGGCATGGTGTGATCCTCAGGACACTGCCCTGCTCACGGAGATGCCACTAGCACAGAGGTGAGTCCTCTCTGGCAGGGACATCACATGGCTGATGTGAACCCACCCACCGAGGCCCACTCACTGCCCACCTCCCTCTCAGCCACGCTGCCTCGGCCTGGAAAGGTGCTCTTTACCTGGGTTTCTCAAGGTCTTTGGCTGGCAACACTGTCAGCACCAGAGAGGACTTCTCAACGGCCGAACAGGAGACCACGAGGTTCAGATCGGAAATGAACTTGACCTTCTGACACCAGTTGGGATGGAGAGCCTGGGGAAGAGAGCCGCCCTCGTGGGAGACCCTCCAGAGGACAGCTGCATTCCAGGCCCAGCCCCTGGAACATGGCCAGGGTGAGGGGCTGGAGGGGCCTGGAGATGATGGAGCCTAACGAAGTGACCATGGCTTGAACAAATTGAAGTGGCCCAAAGTCCTAGCCCAGGTCCGGTGATCAGGAAAGTGTAGCCATCCCTTGTCTCAGAAAATGCTTAAAGGCATTTCATTTGAGCATTTGCTTTGTCCGTGAAAGGACCCATGAGGTTGGGCCTGTGCAAGTGTCATTCTCCCAAGGGGAGAATGGATGGAGTCATCCTCCACAGGAAGCGCCCACTGCGTGGACCTGTCCCTCTGGCCCACTGCCACCCTCTAAGTTTGTCAGACAAGTTCATGGGAGCCTGGGAGGTAAGGACAACCTGTGGCAGCCTTAACAAGAAAAGGAACACAAGTGGGCTGGCTGGCCTCTGACTTCCCCAGCTTGGGATCTGTGACCTCGACCAGAGCTTGGCCTCCCCAGCTGGAGACTTTCCTGTCTACAACAAGAATGGAGGAGAGGAAAGAATGGAGGCGGGTGGGAGAGATGGGACCATCCAACACTCATTCAGTGCCTTCTGTGTGCAAGGCACCAAGCCAGGTTTTCCAGTCTCACCAAGTGTCCGTCACAAGGAGGCACTAATCCAAGGCACTGAATGAGACTTGGGACATTAAGCAACTTGGAGGAAAAACCAAGCCCCAAAAGAGATTCCCACTGGAAGATGAAAAAGGAGATGACACAAAAACAAAATATTAAAAATAAATAAATAAATAAATAAAAAGGAGATGAGGTCGTAGGTGCCTCCTCCTACGAAAGTCACAGAGCCCACGCAGAAACAACATTCGGGAGCCTTCGACCACCCCACTCAGGCTTACCTTGAGGCTCTCATTCACTCATTTGTTCAACAGATGTGCTGGGAGCCCACTGTTGGAGGCACTAGAGATGGACCGGAGAGCACAACACACAAAGTCCCTGTCCTCAAGGAGCTGTCAATCTTGTGAGGATCACAGGGCAACAATAATGGGTGGACAATACAAAGTTGGAAGTGGAAAGTACAGGGTGAAGGGAGAAAAGACAGAGGAGGCAGCAGGTTATCCTGGGAAACAAGTAGAGGGTGGTAAACAGGAACCCAGGGGAACAGCACTGCAGTTGGAAGGGATGTCATGTGCCAAGGCCCTGTGGTAGGAAAGGGCTTGGGGGTATTTTGGGAGGGGAGAGCAAGGGAGCCTATGTCTCTGCAGCACAGTAAATGAGAAAAAAGGTAGAAAACAAGACCTAAAGCAAGTCAGGGGCCTCATGTCCTGATGCTTGTGGTAAGGACTTGAGAAGTTGTTTCAAATGTGATAGAAGCTACTGGAGTGACATGACAGTCATTCTAATGAATAATTCCTGTGACTGCCAAAAGGAGAAAAAGCTGCATAGAGAAAGGAGTGGGGAAGCCAGCTAGACACGCTGTAGGACTCCAGAAGACAGGGATGTCTGCAGGGCCAGGCCACAGCAGCAGCAGCAGCAGCAACAGCAGCAGCGGGAACGCCTGGCCTCGCTGGGACCCATGCATATCATGCAGATGGAACCCACGGCCTCCAACAACTGCCTTGGCTCTGGTTCTAGGGCCCGATCCCTAGAGCTAAGACTGGACCCTGGAGGTGAATCCACTTTCTGCATTTACTTTTGGGTGGTGTGTGTATTGGACGTTCACCATGGTCACTGGCCAAGAAGGTACAACTTACCCTCAGCTGGTAACTTCTGTATACAGCAGACTTCTCAGTTAAGAGTTTTGGCATGGAAACCTTGATCCAGTGATCTGATGGGGGGAAAACTGAGGTCCACACTAGCTTCCCTCTTTGCCAGCCATGCAGACTCTCAGATGATGTCTGGAGTTGACTGTCAACTCCTTGCTTCTCAAAGGTCTTTTCAGCCAAATGCGCATGGAGCCTCACTGTGACTTGAGAGGTTAGTGGGTGCCACCACTCAGGCGGCTCACAGCTGAGAAGCCAGGGCCCACATTCTCCCTCAGTGCTGCGTCCTGAACAAGCCACCTCACTACAGAGCTCCAATTTTTCTCCCCAGTGGAAACAAATGGAGATTCTAGACTCCCCTCGTCCTGAAATGTCATTCTTGGGGGATTTGCCACCAAACCCCTTGTTCAGAAAGCTCAAGTTCCAAGTAGAGGTTGCACCCATGCATCATAAAACGAGCAACTCTGACGAGCAGGTACTGCCGCAGCACAGCCCTGCCCTTGTGAACCTCCCGGCCACCAAACACCCAGGGGCAGCAGCTAATGAACCTCCAGGGAAAGCGAGCTGGACACAGACGGGTGGGCCAGGGGACACACACAGGCCACCCTCAGGGGCAATTTAAGGAAGTAGGTTGGAAACGCCTGACACTCTGGCCTTGGGTCTGATGGCAACTGCCAGGGAATGCGGAGGAAAGAGGCTGCGGGGGAAGGGGGGGTTAGGCCATGCATCTCACTGCTGCTCACCAGCTCCACCTTGAAGGCAGAAACAAGTGTGCTGGGAAGTCCCAAAGTCGGACGCTGCTCCAGGGGCAGGGCTGGTGTCCTGGATGGAGGGGGGTCAGGGTCCCTGTGGCTGGGACCCCTGGTGGCCTGCCTAGGCTCTTCTAAATGGATATGAAGTGGCCCAGAAACCCCAGCTCAGCCCCAGGTCCCATGGCTGCTGGGGATCTGGAACTCCTTGGCAGAGAAGTTCCAAATGGCATCCTTAAGCAGTTTAGGACGTGGCCCAGCAAATGGTTAAAAGTGTAGTCTCTGGCAGGTGCCCTGGCTTCAGACCTCAGACACCATTCAACAGCTGCGCACCGAGTGGCTCCAGCCCACCAACGCTCCTTCATTAACTCCCTCGGGACAGTAGGTGGAGACTGAGGGAGGTGACACACAGGCAACCTGCATGCAGCTGCTCAAAAGTGGCAACCACACTCACTCACGTTCCTGCCTAGCCAGGAGTCCTCCGGGCCCACCAGAGGCCACCTCTAGGGCCCCTCCACCACACCCCCACCCACCCAAAGGCAGCTCAAGGCCAAGGAGAACAGAAGCCACCTCACAATCATCCAAGGAAGTTCCACTACCCTGGCCTCAGAAGGCAGGAAGGACTTCCTCAGGTCATACCCAGCATGTTCCCTTCTTCCTGGGTAAGGAGTGTCCTGCAGCCCCTGGTCCTCACCTGCACAAGATCTGCCTGCAAAAGGATGGACCTCTTCTCAGCCCCTGGTCTTCTGCTGTTGCTCCCCCACCACTCCCTCTCCCATAGGCCACTCAGCCCAGTACCCACTGGTGCCTTGGCCACCTCCCCAGAGGTCCACAGCATGGAATGGGAAGAGCACCCCAGGGCCAGGGCCAGCTCAGGACCCACTTCAACCCACTCCCAACCTCTGCCCCATTCCTGTGCATCTGGGCTACCCCATTTGGAGAGTCTGGGGAGGATGTGGGGGTTGAACAGTCCGGTGGTCACACTGTCAGAGATGAAGACAATAACATTGCCCTTGGTGTCCCCATAGCAGAACACACCTCTGTGATAGTCAGACCTAAGGAAAGATGGGGACAGAACAGGCTGTGGATCCTCCTGTCCTTCACCCACCTGCCTCCCACAGCTCCCTCCACCTCGGGATCCGGGGCAGTTCCAACCAACTTCCCCAACCTTGCCCAGTGGCCCAGATCCAGACTGATACTCAATGAGAATTTGGTATTTTGTTTCAACCAAAACAAATTAATCCCTAGTCTTCCAACTCTCGTTATCAAGCCACCCCTCCCTATAGACTATGATGTTCCCAGAGTCCTCAGCTACAGTGGGACCAGCCTCTGCCAGGGTTTGACAGCTGACTGTACAGGAGAGGGATAGGGAGAGAAGCAACGACAACTCCAAGGTCAGAGTGACCATAAAGGCCACCCCAGGGGAAAAGCAGCTTGAGGGAAAGAGGATACAGGGCCTCAAACCAGTGGAGTGAGGATCTTTCCAGGCTGTCTACAGGGAGGTGTTCTGAGACCCCAGCCCCAGCCCCTCCTGTGATATGGCACCTGCCCAGACCCTTCTCCCATCTTCTGTGGGACTCACCAGTAGTTCATGGCCAAGACACAGCAGTCCAGATCAATAAAGGTGAAGGTCCGGACACATTTATGGTCACTAATATCAAAGAACTCTGGGGAAGAGACAGAAGAGCAGGAAAAGACACATATGGAACTGAAACCCCTTCAGTATCCCTGTGACAACCAGAGGCAGCCAATCAGAGTAAAGTCACCAAGCCAGTGCTTCCCACTGCGGCTAGATTGAATCTCCAGAGCCCACCATAGTGGCAAGGGCTTGTAGGACAGCCCGTGGGCCTCTGCACTCCATCCACATCCTGCCTGGCCACCACTCCTGCCTCTGTCCTGACCCCCGCCTGCCACCCCAGCCCTGGCCTACCAGGCTCCAGCCACACGCTCACCCCACCCCAGGCCCTCCCCACTGTTCCCTCCACCCGGAACGCTCCCGGGACTCCTTCAAGACCTACTCAAATGTCCTCTCAGAAAGGTCGTTCCCTGGACCCAGGCCTTATCGATTCCCTCATGGCACCTATCTCAACATCTAATTTGTCTGGGTCTTAGGGTCTGTCTCTCCTCTGCAGTGTGGCACCCACAGTGCCCAGCACAGCACCTAGGCTCTGAGGAATCTGCCAACAACAGCTGTGACAAGCAAATGCAGGGAAATGCTGAGCCCTGGGCTCTGCCTGCAGCGGGGTGCCTCTGCCCCTTGGCTCAGCTGGTCACTTGCTCTGTCCATCCCTGCACTGCAGGGACAGGGAGACCCACTTCCTCACCACCCTGCCACTCCCTCCTCAGGACCAGGGCCCAGCCCCACGCGTCCCACCACTGAAACCCCGGACGGGTCCGAGGCCAGGTAAGCAGACTCCGCACAGGTGCACTGGGATAGAGAAGAGACGGCTTCTTGCCATCTCGCCCCTTCTTTTACCCACCTGAGCCAGCCCTTCCAGACTAATTTTTTGAAAACACTATTTTCATTCTGTTCAAAACCCTTCAAAGGGGTCCTCACACCCAGCTGCTTCAAACCTCAAAACCCTTCTCAAAAAAGTCCAGCTGCTTCCAACAGATGGGCTCCAGTTCAGTCCCCATCTAATGAGCAGCAGCCTCACTAATGGAGCTGTCTTCACCCAGATACAGCTCTCCCCCCTCCACCTCTCTAGGAGCCAGCCACCGAGGAGGCTGTGGATCCCAGGGGAGGGCAGGCCTCTGGGCCACAGAGGCTGAGGCTCATGCTGGTGAGCCTCTGGCCTTGACCGAGTGTTCCCAGGAGATGACAGCTGCTCGGTGAGGAGGGCTGTGATGACACGATCCTCTCTGAGATTCTCATGCCAGTCTCTCAGGAATGAAGGACAAGAAAGAAGACAGGGACAGCACCTGGTCCTCAGGAAACATGTATTTGCAACTGAGGCCCTCCCTGGGTCTCAGATACCTCCCCCAGACTGCCTGCGCTCACCGATGACCACTTTCTCTTATCACATAATCTAACCTCATAGTCAGGCTGATATTGGTTGAACACCTACTAGATGCCAGGAGCCAGGCCGTGAGCTTCACACCTAAAGACTAAGCCACTAACCATAGGCTCCATCTTACTTCTGGGTAATCTGAAACCCTGGGAGGTAAAGTACTTGCCCAAAGTGTCACACCAACAGCGGGCAGGAGCAGGGTCTGAACCCAGGCCCAGCCTCTTCCAGAGCAGCAGGGGCTCATCCTCCACCTCAGCTCTGCCCCGTGAGCTCCAGCCTCACAACTGTCTCTCCTCCCCCGATCACTTTCCAGTCTGCTGGTGCCACCTCCACCTCTGCCTCTGGGACAGCTGGACACTTCATTCACTCACTCCTCCACCCACTTAATAGCCACCAGACATCTCACAGGTGCCAGCCACGGAGACAGGGGAGTAAAAGAGCTGCAGCCCTTGACTGCAGGAAGTCAGGGAGCCTTCAGGCTGGAGGAGGAAACAGGCACCACAGAACCACACTAGGACGTGTGACTGCACCTCAAAGGGACCCTGACTGGGAGAGGGACAATCTCACACAGGCCTTTTCAACAGAGGAAACTGACTTGGAGGAGATGGTCACAAAAGACCCCTGGAGGAAGTGAAATCTGAGATGAAACCTAAAGGGAAAGTAGACGCTGTGGGGGTGGGGAGAGGTGCCAGAGGATCGCTGGAGCACAGGGACGGAGGCCGCAGCACCCATCAGAAGAGGGGAGAGAAGGTCACAGTAGCCTCAGGCTCCAGGGACAGCAACAGGTAGAGAAGACTGTGGGGCCATAGGGGTCAGGACTTCCAGGGCCTGGGGCCAAGTTAAGGATCCCATCACCAGGCTAAGAGCAGGGGAGCGAATTGAAAGCTTTCTGCAGAAAGGCATTTTGAAAGCTGCTCCGTAGGCCTTGAGAGGAAGAGCGCAAGCAAGGCTTCAGTGCCACTCAAGTGAGAGCCCAGGGTGGCTCAGGCTGCAGGTGGCTGGAGAGGGGAGAATCAGGGCTAGAGGTGGACTGGTTATAGCCTCCAGTCGATAAATTTGGATCAATTCAATATTCAGGTATCCATTAAGCATTCCCTGCCTACTGAGAGGAGTTGGGCAGTCAACAAGTGACTGGTCCCTCTCGGTCCCTCCTATGGCACCCAGCACTCAGCAGCCACTCGGCACCTGATGACCAGGCCTCTCCTCCCACCAGTGCTTCCAGAGGGCTCGCATCCATGATACGGGGTGCTCAGCTGACACAGCTGCCCAAGTGCAAGTGCAGAAAGCAGGCCTGGGGAGCCCAGGACTCACCTATCTTCAGTTTGGTAGATGAAACTGCAATGAGGTTCAGGTTGGGCAGGCACACCATGTCTGTGACCCACATCTGCTGGCTGTGGAGCTGCAGGAACTGGCTAAGCTGGCAGAGGAAGACAAGGGGAGGCTTGGGCTGGGGAACTCCCCAGCAGAGCACACCATGAGCACGGGCTGTAAACCTTCTCCTGCCACACAGGACCCTGGAGCAGGCACAGACACAGAGCCTGGTGCTACGACCAACTCCTCATGACAGGCCTTTGAATAAGCTCCCTAACATCTCTGGTCTCAGTGTCCTCGTCTATAGTTTCAATAGGTTGTTCCAAAGTCTTGAATGTACAGAGCTTGGGATCCAGGGATTTGTTTTCAAGTCAAACCCATAGTGTGTGCAAAGGCAGGGGCTGCAGCGTGCCATGAAAGCAATGGGACACTACTATGGGCCACCACCAGACACAAAGAGTGAAGGGCTGTACACCTGCCAATAAAGAAGAGTTGCCACATATATTTACCAAGTGAGAAAGCAAGATGGAGAGCAGCATTACACTGTGACACCATCTGTACATTTACAAAGAAGAGGGGCCAGGTGTGGTGTCACACCCCTGTAATCCAAGCAACTTAGGCTGAGGCAGGAGGATCTTTCAAAGCCAGCCTCAGCAACTTGGTGAGACCCTAAGACATTTAGCAGAAGTGTTATATAAAGTCTGGGTATGTAGCTCAGTGGTAAAGTGCCCCTGTATTCAATCCCTAATATATTAAAAAAAAAATTAAATTAAAAAAGAAAAAGGGGGACACATATGTAAGTGACCCATGGAAGAGTGACCCAAAACTGGACACAGCAGATGTCTCCAGGAAGAGGAATTAGGGTTAGAGAAAAGAACCTGACTTCCCTGTGTCTGCCCCTCCCGATGTCTGAGTCTTGTTTACCATCTCAGGTGCCACCCAGTCACGGGGCTTGCTTGTTACCAAGGATGTATTCTGCCAGGTTGGGAGTAATGGATGGAATGAAGGGAGCGAAGGCATCCAGTGAGGGTCCGGGGCCTTCACTCTGAGCAGCTGTCTACTCAGACGAACTTGAGCTGGTCCTCCAAGGGGAAAGCCTTGAGCAAAGTCATGTCCCCTGCTATTTCCATGGGAAGAGAAAGCAGCCTGACAGGTGGGTGTAGAGAAGGATGAGATGAGTCAGGTAAGCCACCCCAGGAGTCTTTTTGGTGGGGAGGGTACCAGGAATTGAACCAGGGGTGCTTAACCACTGAGCCACCTCCCCACCCCTAAATATTTTATTTAGAGACACGATCTCAACTAAGTTGCTGAGGCTGGCTTAGAACACTTGATCCTCCTGCCTCAGCCTCCTGAGCCACTGGGATTACAGGTGTGCTCCACTGCGCCCAGCCCAAGGAGTCTTATTTTTAAGACTCCTTTGTTCCATGGTTAATACAATGGCTCTCAGCTAAAGAAAGCAGAATGGAGTCTGAAAAAGAAAGAAGGCTGGAGCTGGGATATAGCTCAATTAGAAGAGTGCTTGCCTCCTGTGCACAAGGCCCTGGGTTCAATCCCCCCCAAAAAAAGAAAGAAGCTATGTTTCAAAGAAGTTCCTCTAGATGGATGCCCAGAACTAGTGAGGCATTCCCACAGGGAGGACAAAGAACAGGCTATTCCATCAGAATGGACAGAACACCCAGACCACAGCCCTACACTCTCAGACTCCCCCACATGCCTCGGACAGTGAGGACGATGACTGGAAACCCCCAAGGTCCTCTCCCATCTTGGGTGGGGTCTGACCTACACACCCCCATAAACTGGTAACCTCCAGCATCCACACTATTCAGATGGGAAACCAGGAGCCCTGGAAGTTCCAGTGACCTGCCCAAGGTCACAGTACTAGTGATGGGAGTCCAGGCCCCACCTCAGACTCCAGAGTAGGTGTTCACAGATGGCTCACCCTTGCCAAAATCTACCTGCCAAAGCAGGAAGAACCTCCAGGTCCTCCAAGCCTTACCAGGACCCCTCCTAGGGAGCCTTCCTCTGTCCTCTTCAGCCCTCCCAGGCTTTGGCCCGTAAGGGGCACTGAGGTGACTGTGTAGCAGACACCACCAGGAGCTCTGGCAGCAATGCACCCTCCCTTAACACACAGAAAAGGCAGGAGTTTGCCAGAAGCCATAGCCTCAGGGAACCTCAGGAACCTCAGCTCCATCCAGCCCTCGCACCCCCAGGGATGGCTGCGGCTGCTGCTGCTGCTGCTGCTGCTGCTGCTGCTAGCCCTGGGCAGTCCCAAAGGAGGGGAGCCCTTCAGGCGGCTGGCAGCATTCTCCGCAAGCCCTCCTGCAGAGCCCTGGAGAACAGTGCTTGCCTCCTGTTCTGGAGCTTTTTGGAGTAGCCTGGCGATATCAAGCCCACAGCAGCTTTTCTTGAGTGTCCTATCACTACTACTCTGGGCCAGGACCTGGCGGCAGAAAGACCGCGACAATGTTGGCTTCTATTTATTGAGCACTTGCTGTGTGCCTTGTCCTAATCAAGCACAACCCACGTACGAGGTCATTAAATCCTCTCAACAAGCCCCCTTTCACAGATGAGGACTCAGAGGCCTGGAGAGCTGTATCATACCCTGCCGGGGTTTGGAGCCGGAAGGTGGTCCATTTGGGATTCTGAGCCTGCAATTGAGCTCCAGGGTCCATGCTCACAACCAGGTGATTTCCTACCTGGTCCAGGTAATGGGTTAAAACCAGCGGGACATGGAGACAGTATGAGTGTGACAAGGCAAGGAAAGAAGGCTGAACTTTAGTGCAGGAGCCTTGCTGGACGATGATGGCATTTGCTGAGATGACTCAAAAAAAATAGCCCTGTGGGCAGGGGGAGCTGGAGTGACATGCTATTTGGACAAACTAGGTTGGAGATGTCTATTGGGCGTCACGTCACGGTGGAGTCCTCCTTAGCAGAAAAGAAGTGTGAGGCTCCCACAGGAAAGCCAGACCATGGACCCACATCCTGTGACAAGTCCAGGCTGCTTAGACGACAAATGCCAAGAACAAGCCCACACTGGGTCCAGGTCACCTTCAATGTCAGGGTGCTAAGGCGATGCTCTCCGGTAACCCTACGTGTGCTCCACATGCACCACCCCACTCACCATAAAGGAGTTAATCAGTGAGAAAGACTCAGACCAGAACTGCAGGATCCCATCTTTGGTGATAGTCAGGAAACACCCAATCTTCTTGAATCGTTGGATGAAAAACTCCACTTTCACAATCTCACACCCATGATTCCTTTGAATGGTGAGAAGCAAACAGAAACAGCTCAGAAAGGAGGGTTATCACTACTCAACTGTACCATAAATAAGCAGCCTTAAATACGTACATGAACAGACAAGGCCATGTTTCAATAAAATTTTATTTAGGAAGACAGGTGGTGGGCCACCAAGCAGTCTAGAGCAGAACCCAGGGAAGGAAGGACAAAAGCAAGCAGGAGCAGCTTCATTCACACATGCACCAAGGGACAGTGGCTGGCCCCCTGAGACATGGGCTGCCCCCTCCTCCAAGCAGATTTCTATTAGACTGACAATGGCCACAAGAGCGAGCCCCAGTGAGGGCTGGGATGTAGCCCAGCGGTACAGGGCTTGCCTAGCAAGTGCAAGGCCCTGGATTCCATCCGCAGCACCACAAAAAGAAAAAAAGAATAAGAGCTATGTAGGACGATGGCATGAGATGGGCTCTAAAAGTTTATCCTGAGCAATAACCAGCCAACTTCCTCACCAGTGCGCGATGGGACAAACAAGGCAGAGAGCTGAGGTCTTCTTTTCTAGCAGAAGCAGCCCACCAAGGGTAAGCAGAGTGGGGCATGTGACTGAAACCTGAGAAATAACACTTTCTAGCCACTGCTCCAGTGCTCTGGGGTGGAGAACAGAACCCAAGCATGAGGTGGGTACACCAGAGGACAGTGAGGAATTAGGGCCCTGGGCAGCCAACTCTTCATCTCCTGGCCATGCACTGAACACAGAGAGAAGTTCCAGGGATAGACCTTGCCTCACCGGATGAGACCGGCAGCCTTCCCAGCATGCTTCAGTGCTACCTTCCAGTGGCTTCTTTCCTGCGCCAAAGCTGGCTAAGCCATCTGGCTAGAAAGGATGACCACCATTTTGACTTCCTGACATAGCATCATCAAGCACTCTGACACTTCATGTGTCCAATCTTTGGACCCTGGCAAGGCAGTGATGTCACTTCATCTTACAAAGAACCAATACCTAAAGTTCTGCACTGGTTTCCAACTGAGCTAAAACTAGAACCCAAGCATCTTCCCCCTCCCCCAGAGCCCTCTCCAAGCCTTGCTGTGGACATGATCTGATTTCTGGCTTAAGTATGACCCACACCCCTATGAAACTCGGCTGCTGTTGCCATCTCAGCGGAAGAGTAGGAAAAACATGTAGCTGGACACTGTTTTCCTGCTACTCCGTCCTCAGCCCACTGCTCTGTATGAACAATGGTGAACTCTCAGCTGCCTTTCTAATCATCATCTCCAATTCTGCCACTTCTGTCAAGACCAAAAACTGTGAGAAATAGACACAAGTAAGAGCTCTGAAAAGTTAGGATGGCCCCAGGGCAATGTCATGGTTTCCTTTTAGGCTGACAGCAGCACCCCTCGCAGGACAGCAGTGGGATCAAACAGGACAGTGCACTGGGCGCACTCAGCCTGGGTGGGGTCATTTAGATGACTCAGTGTTGAGGATCAAACCCAAGGCTTCCCGCATGCCAGACAAGTGCTCTACCACTGAGCCACATCCCCCTAGCCCAAAGTGAGTCCATTAAAAATTACCCTTTCAGCTGGGCGCAGTGGCACAAGCCTGTAATTCCAGTCAAGGCAAGAGGATTAGAGTTCAAATACAGCCTCTGCAAAAGTGAGAGGCTAAGCAACTCAGTGAGACCCTGTCTCTAAATAAAATACAAAATAGGGCTGGGGATGTGGCTCAGTGGTCAAATGCCCCTGAGTTCAATTCCTAGTACGGCTCCCTGCCAAAAATAAAAATAAAAAGTTACCCTCTTATAAAGACAACTAAATAATATTTGGCTATTTTCTCCCAAAAATTGGAAATGCTTTCTAGGTTTGCAGGTTAAGCAAATGAAATGGAGAAACTAAGACACAAGCTTTCTGACACTTTTTTCTCAGGACAAACAGCAGTCCAGCACAGGTATGACTACAGTGAGTAGTGTCTATGACAAAATTATGGTCATAAAACCTATTAATGTTCATATTTATTGGCTATTCCTCAATTAAATCCCAGCCAAATTCCACCTACAAAGTCCCCCTAACAATTCTCATTTAAAGTACCTTATTAAACTCTGAGCTACTGCAGGGCAAGGATGACTTCTAGTTCTTGGTCTTCCTGTGGCCTGACCTGGGTGTACTCCTGAGGAAATACCTACCCACAGCCCCCTCCTGACCAGGACACAAGTGCAGGCCACCACAGCTTATACCACAGGAGTTGGCTCCCCGGTCTCAGCCACCTGCCTAAGACAGTTGACACAGACCCAAGGTGAGTGGAGAGGGCCAAACAGTGCAACTCTACCATTTTCTGTCTATTGGCCTGCAAGACATTTGGCCTCTCTGAGCCCCAGTTTCCTCATATGTGAAATGGGAACAAATCACCTGTCTTCATCCTAATGAACACCTACATGATTGTGAGGCAGAAAAGAACTAAAAGGCATTCAGCATCAAGTCCAGTGTCAGATCCCTGGTTGGCACCAGCAAAGAATGGCTTATGACCTTAGGAAGGGGGCTCCTTGCAGGACTGGCACCAGCGCTTATTCAGTCAAACCCCCAGGTCCAGGGAAGAGGCTCCTTACAGGGGGATGATCCTCATAGGGAGCTGGAACAGCAGGCGGTACTGGCTCTTCCTCATCAACTCCAGCCCCTGGAACTCATGCATCATGTAATCCATATATTTCTCCTGCCTCAGAAAAATCAGGAAAGGGAGGGTGGATATTAGCAGTTCAGCAGTCACCTTCGGAAACCCAAGTGGTTTCTAGTGTCTTCCTCATCCCTCCCCAGCCCCTTCCAAGGGTTTCTGGGCTGTTTCCTGAGCACTCAAGGGAAGTGGCTAAACAACAGACCTGGGTTTGAATCCTGAACATGGGAAAGCCTATTTGCAAGCATCTGTTAATTCAGCAAAGCAACCCCTCTCCTGAACTCCCTCAGCAATGCTGAGGACAGCTCTCTATTCACCCTCCACTGTAGAGATAAGGAGGAGCCCCTTATGTAAGCATGTGTGAATTGCCAAATTCATGTACCAAGTTAACAACTGGGGAGAACCCATAACTAGGGCCATTTGGGCAACTCTAGGCTCCAAATAACTTCATGAAAATATTGCCAGAGCCAAAACAAGAAACAGGAGTCACATGTGGTGGTACCCGCCAGCTACGCAGGAGGTAAAGACGGGAAGATTGCTCGAGCCTATAGATTAAACACCAGCCTGGACAACAACAGCAAGACCAAGACCTCATATCAACAAAAAATAGAAAAAGAGAGAGGTGTTAAGAAGGATTGTTGTGTAGCCAAGCACAGTGGCCCACGCCTATAATCCCAGCAGCTCAGGAGGCTCATGCAGGAAGATTGCAAGTTCAAAGCCAGACTCAGCAAAAACAAGGCGCTAAGCAACTCAGTGAGACCCTGTCTCTAAAAAAAATACAAAATAGAGCTGAGGGTATGGCTCAGTGATCAAGTGCCCCTGAGTTCAATCCCTGGTACCCCCCCCCAAAAAAAAAAATAGAAAAAGAAGGATCATTGTGTAGATGGTGGAGAATGCTAGAAACATTTACTAAAGAATGTTTAGAGAAATAAAAGCAAAAAACTTTCAAAAATAAAACCTGCAATATATACTTAAACTAAGGGGGTAGGAGGGATGCCATGGTAGTTCATAAATGGACCTTAAAGAAGATCCCTGGGTTTGAATATTGCCTCAACTATTAGATAGCTCTGCAACCCTGGGCAAGTTCCTAACCTCTATGCTTCAGTTTCCCACTTCTACCTCATAGAATTCTTGTGAGGTTTAAGTAAACCTTAAAGTGTGAGGTCTCACACTTTATTAAGTGCTCTGCACGGTGCCCTATGTCATCTTTACTACATCCACATGTCATACTATGTTTGTACTTTGCTATATGTTTATATGCCATATGTGCTCATTATAGAACATTCAAAAACAGAAAAAACAAAACCACTATTACTGCTATCCTATAAAACCCCGATATTTTTGGATTTAACAGCCACAGGTTCGTCTTCTGAGTGACTATAAAGAGCCATGAGATGGTCATAATACTGGCTTGGATTCCCTAAACTGCATAAGAGGCTGGTGTGCAGTATAGCCACATGTCAGAGATACCCCACAAGAAGGTCTCACACAAGGACCATGGATACTTGTCACACACACTCTCCCATATCCCACTGCAGAATGAATTGCAATGAGCCCCGCTGACAGAAGTCTCGAGAAGGACTCCTAAGAGATATCAAGTTTCCTCCCTGGGCATGGTGGCGTACACCTGTAATCCCAGCAACTAGGGAGATTAAGGCATGAGGATCACAAGTTCAAAGCTGGCCTCAGCAACTTAGCAAGTCCCTATCTCAAAATAAAAACTAAACACAGCTGGGGATGTGGCTCAGTGGTCAAGCATTCCAGGTACCAGAGAGAGAGAGAGATACCAAGGTTCCTCTACCTGGCAAGCACGCCAGCTAGTGCCAGAATCCAAAGGGAGATTTTCTGATGCTGTGACTGCCTCCCATCTTCATACCTCCATTTGCTCCACCTGTTTAGGACTGTATCCTCCAGCCTCCCCGAGATATCTGAAGCAGCAAGGATACCCTCCTCACCCAGGTGATGAAGCCATTACAATTTGAGTCCGCCTTCAAAAACAGGGTCTCCAGCATCTCATCTGACACATTCTGCAGAACCTTCTTCATGGTCTTAATGAAAACTCCCAGATCCAGGACTTAAAGAGAGAAGAAAACATTATTCACTCAATCACAAGTCACAGAGGGCCATGGTGGCCATAGGTGCTAAGGGGACACAAGGAGAGGATATCTACTGGGTGCCTACAGTTCAAGGCACTCTCTGCTCCCTCCCCCAAGACAATCAGCTGGATCACTGGAGGGGAAACGGAAAGAAGCCTTAGGCAGCTGCCTTCTCCTCAGCCCCGCACGGAGTCGCTTGCTTGGCCCCATCTACCCTTCCTTTACCTCCCCAGCAGAGGCCCAATTGATTTCTGAGGTTTCCATCATCACTTGGTTATCTTTTGTATCTTTTTTTAATCTTAGGTACTGGAGATTGAATGCAGGGCACTCTACCACCGATACATCCCTTGCTGTTTTTAGGTTTTATTTGGAAACAGAGTCTCATTCAATTGTCTAGGCAGTCCTTGAACTTGGAACCCTCCTGACTTAGCCTTCAGAGTCAATGGAATTACAAGCATGCACCATGGCACCAGCTCTTTGAAAGCTTTTTAAGAGAGAAAAATGATCATATTTTCCCTTACTTTAAAACATCAATGAAAGGAGAATTTTCCTTTCCCTCAATTAATACCACAGCCAGCCTTTAAAAACAAGGAAGCTCTTTTTAGACTGATATGAAAATATCTCGGGCTGGGGATGTGGCTCAAGCAGTAGCATGCTTGCCTGGCATGCCTGGGGCGCTGGGTTCGATCCTCAGCACCACATAAAAATAAAATAAAGATGTTATGTCCACCGAAAAAACTAAAAAATAAATATTAAAAAATATATCTCTAATACATATTAAGTAAAATAAAAACTTAAAAACCAAGGTGGAAAACTTGTGAAAAATTAATTTTAAGAAATATCAAGGAGGGGCTGGGGATACAGCTTGGTGGCAGAGAACTTGCCTCACAAGGCGCAGCCAGGCATGGAGGTGCACACTTGTAATCCCAACCTCGTAGGAGGCTGAGGCAGGAAGATCTCAAATTCAAGACCAGTCTCAGCAACTTAGCAAGGTCCTAAGCAACTTAGTGAGACTCTGTCTCAAAAAATAAAAAGAGTTGGGGTGTGGCTCAACAGGAGAGCATTCCTGGGTTCAACCCCCAGTATCAAAGCAGGGGAAAAAAGTAAACAGAACAGTATGGGTCACAAGCTGTTACTGCATAGAACTCGCCATCTTGCTTCTAAAGGTCACAGGAAAAGCAGTAACCGCCTGCAGCAACACACCTGGGCAGCATGGATGGGGGAGAAAGACTTTCTCCACATACTAAAAGGTATCCTGGAAAAAGTACTTTCTGCATTTGAACTGTGTGAACACACTGTGTATTCAAAAGTAACCCGTACATGACAGGAACCATGGCTAAAGTAAAAAATGTTAGGTCCTCCATGATTCAGTGGTGGTAAAACCAAGGGAAAGTCTGAATAGACCTTCGCACTTCACTTGACTCCAGTTTCTTGCTTTTAGTGGACGTCATACAGCTGAGAAATGTAATTAGTCTGTCATTAGCTCTGTTTAGGTAGCACCTCTGACATGTGGGTTATGATAACGATGGTTGCCTGGGTTGTTTTTCAGGAACCTGAAGGCCACTTTTGTTGAAACCACCAACTCCTCCCATGGGTGACCTTTTGACATGAGGCCCAAAACCCCACCCTCAGATTGTGCTGACACAACCACTTTCTGAACATGTGGCCCACAGAAAGCCACACAATTTGACTACACATGCTCAGGCCACTACTTCACCTCCAGTCACCTTTCTCCATGTCTTAAATCTCCCTGTTTCTTTATCCCATCAATGTCCCCAAATCCTCTCCTGGGGGAGGTAGATTTGAGACTTGGGGTCTCCCACCTCCACACTTGGCTGCATCTTAAATACTTTCTCTTTTACAAAACTTGTTGTTTCAGTGATTGACATACTATGGGGCAGGAAAAAATGGGCCTAGCTAGGTAACACTGGCACCTCCTGGCTGCAAACATCAACACTGGAAAACCCCAGCTGGAGCCATCTCATCTTCAGGTCAGACATGAAGTGCCTCTCGGAGGCATCACTTCGTCATATTTCCTGCCCACATCAGAGAATAGTTGTAAAGCTCAAAAGAAATGAATTGGGCCAGGAGCAGTGCACATGCCTGTAATTGATTTTATGGGTATTTATTTATTTGTGCTATTATAAAGTCAAAAAAGTCTTGCCTCAAATACGTGAGGCACCTGTGCCATATTCTCTAGCCAAGAGAATATGGTACAGATGACAGGATATGCAAGACTAAATGCATATGGTCACATAACAGTGCACATGGCTCCTGTTGTTCAGGAAGCTGAGGCAGGAGGACTACTGGTCAAAGCCAGCCTCAGCAACTTAGCAATGCCCTAAGCAACTTAGTGAGAACCTGTCTCAAAATAAAATATAAAAAAAGGCTGGGGTTGTGGCTTAGTGGTTAAGTGCCCCTGGATTCAATCCCTGGTAACAAAAAAAAAAAAAGATAAAGAAAGAAATGGGAGGGGCTGGGGTTGTGGCTCAGTGGTAGTGTGCTTGTCTAACCTGCATGACGCACTGGGTTCGATTCTCAGCACCACATACAAATAAATAAAATAATGGTCCACCTAAACTAAAAAAAATATTAAAGAAAGAAAAAAAAATGAAGTAGGAAAGTAGATGGGGCCCTGTCTCTAGTGGCTATAAAGAAAGATGCCTTAATGAATTTCTGTTATTAGACTTTTAGGAGTATTGTCCCAAGGGGGAGAATTCAAGTTCTAAAGAAAGAAAAAGTCTGATGTGCAAAGAGTATCCTCAAAACATTATTTACACTTGATAACATCTAAATATGCAAAAATACGGGAATGGCTTAGTCAACCAGGGAACACTTAGATCTATTAATGATAGTTTAGAAGACTACATAGGAATAAGGAAAAATCCTTAAGATATTAAGTGAAAAAGGGTCTGAAATTACATATACACAGTATCTGACTTGCAATTTTTTTGACTTTATTTTTTTTCTTTTTTAAAATATCTTTATTGTATTTACTTATTTTTTATGTGGTGCTGAGGATTGAACCCAGTGCCTCACGTATGTGAGGCAAGAATATTTTGACTTCATAATAGCACAAATAAATAAACACCCATAAAATCATTGTTGTTTTTAATGGTTTTTATTTTTATTTTTTTCAGGGGGAAGGGATGATGGGGATTAAACCCAGGGGTGCTATATCACTGAGTTATATCCCTAGTGTTTTTTTATTTTTTGCTTTTTTGAGACAGAATCTCAAATTACCCAGGCTGGCCTTGAACTTTCGATCCTCCCGCCTCAGCTTACTGAGTCCCTAGGATTACAGGAGTGCACTATTTTTATAGTATTCAGTAGATTTTTAACACCTTATTATAAAACAGGGTTTGTGTTGGATGATTTTGCCCAACTAGGAGCTGAGCACATTTAAGCTAGGTTAGATTAATCTGCGGTGTTTAGTAGGTTAGGGGTACTAAATGCATTTCAGCTTGTGATATTTTCAGTTTGCCAGAACATACCCTATTTTAAGTCGAGGAGTATCTATTGTATGGAAGGATTCAGATACATGAAAACAAAATGCCATCTGTGCTAGGGAGGAAGCCCCCAGTATATCTGCTTCCTAGCTCAGGCCCTCCTGTGGTTCCCTCCTGCTAAGTAGGGTAGGACTTGTTACCTGCTTCTAGCCAAGAGAATATGGCACAGGTGACAGGATATGCAAGACTATATGCATATGGCCACATAACTGTTCTATGAGATTGCAACACAGTTCTGCTGGAGTGGTTCTCTCCCTGGTTGACTTGAGCCTTTTGAGAAGCCATGTTGGTGACTCCTACATGGCCAGAAACTGTGGGCAGTGTTGGGAGCTGAGGGCAGTCTCCCATCAACAGCCAGCAAGAAATGGATACCCTCGGTACTACTGCTACAAGGAATTAAATTCTGGGAGTGAGCTTAGAAATGGATCCTTTACCAGTCAAGCCCCAGATGCACTACAGTCCCAGCTGACAACTGATTTATGGCAGAAGAGCTATGACCATGGTCATGCTAACGACCCACCAGAACTGAGAGATAATAAATGTATAATAAGCAATTAAAATTGTGGGGCTACTGTTTCACAGCAATAGATAGTACAACATACATGAAACTGGAAAAAAATACAACAAAATATGCTAATAGCAGTTTGCTTCTGCGTGTTTGGACTAGAGAGATATTTTAATAGATCCCAGGTAACCTTCAATATGCTTTCACTGCTTAAACAATGTTTAAAAGGTTTTTTTTTGTTGTTGTTGTTGTTTTAGTATCAGGATTGAACCCAGGAGCGCTTAACCACTGAACCACATCCCCAGCACTTTTTTTTATTTTGAGACAGGCCCTCACTAAGTAGCTTAGGACCTTGCTAAGTTGCTGAAGCTGGCTTGGAACTTGCAATCCTCCTGCCTCAGCTTCCCGATTTGCTGGGATTACAGGCATATGCCACCATGCCTGGATGATAAAAAGTTTTAAATGAGATGCTGTACCCAAAAGTGTTTGTCAGGTCTGAGCCCTCAACACATCCCAGACACGGGGTCCTATTCAGAAATCAAAAAGACTGAAACTGCAGTATGCTTTACCTCCATTTGAATCAATGTTCTCCGCAAACATTCTCTCTAACTTGGCCAGGTGTAGCTCAGAAAACAGCGGAGTCCTATGTTCAGGCATCTGGCCACATGTGATGGATGATATCTTGGGTGTGGGAGCCTCCTTGTCCTGGAATTCACCTGGGCTAGATGGCTGGAACAAATATGACTACAAAAATGAGGGTCTGAGAGAGTTAATCTTTGAGACAAGCATTTTTCAGTACATTTCTCTTACTTAAAGAGAAAATCTTTGGGGAAGAACAAGTAGTGTAAGACTACTACAACTAATGGAAACAAATAAGTCGTGCCCACTTTGAGGCCTAGAAAGATCAGGAAAAAATCTAGACTAGACTGTAAGGTCAGGGATATGGCTCAGTAGTAGAAGTATCCAGCATGTGTGAGGCCCTGAGTTTGGTCCTCAGCACAAAGAAAGAAGGAAGGAAGGAAGGAAGGAAGGAAAGAAAGAAAGAAAGAAAAAAAAATGAAAGAAAAAGAAAAATATGGACTGTGGTTCTTAGAGGAATTAACCTTGTTCCCCTTCTCCAGATGCCACAGCTGAGGTTCAGGGAAGACACAAGGGCTTCGGCTCCAGTGATAAAGCAAGCGTGCTCATCCTCCTGTGGATGCTCACTCCCATGATCCACGCGCTCACTGCGTGCCTGGCACTGTGGGCACAGCGAGCGAGGAGGCCCTGCCAGGAAGCCCTGCCTCTACGTAGCCCAAGAGATGGAGTCAGTGTTCTCACCACCTACCCAGGCCCCTAGTAGAAATTCAGCACTACACCACCTTAAGCGCTTCCCTCTTCTCCCTTATTATTATTATTGGTCTTTTTTTGGGGGGAGGGGGTGTCACTGGAGATTGAACCCAGAGGTGCCTTACTACTGAGCTATATACCCCCAGTGCTTTTTTTTTTTTTTTTAAAGATAGGCTGGCCTCAAACTTGCAATCCTCCTGCATCAGTCTCCCAGGTGGCTAGGATTATAGGCATACAGTAGTGCACCCAGCTTCTAATCTACCTTTCTAATTTCCAAGAACAAACCATATTCCAGGCACACCAACTGCTCTCCCACCCCTGTATGACAAGTGTTCCTCTTATATGCACTCTGTCCCCATGCAGAGTTTACCCCACCTCTCCCTGGGTGAACTTCTACCCATCTGCAGAGGCTGGCTCAAATGGCACCTCCTTCAAAGAGCTTTTCCGATGAAAAGTACCACTGCCACCTCCACATTTCCAGGTGCTCTGCCTATTCCTGCCATGCTTGGCAGGCATCTAGCTACACAAGTAGACAGCAAGATGTCAGGAAAACATCATGGCTGTGGCTCAGAGCTTCGGGTTAGAATTCTGCCTGGCTCCCCCATTTACAAGTTATTTTATCTTGGGATTCTCGCATCCCTTCCCCAAGCCACAGATTTTGAAAGCAAGGGCACGTTAATTTTCCTTAATTTATACTAATTATCTTATTACCCAGCCCCAAGCACTTACTACTCCATACTTACCTATCTCGAGAATAATCAGTGTAGCCCATCTCACCCTTATCACCACTTAGTTGGACAAAATCAAGTATGGGCCATGGATGATCTGTGAATTCGGGTGCTGTTTACAGTGCACTACCTACCAGGCCTGTGAACACCTGAGTCTGCAACACCTAGTGCAGAAGCAATGGATTCCTGTGCTCACTGTGAGTTCAGGTGGATCCAGAACACCCCCGCACTGTACGTTCACTCTGGTGGTCTGCTTACCTTTTGAGGTTGAGGGCTTTCTTCGAAGTTCTCAGAAGACTGTGATGTTAACCTAAGACAAGGAATCACAGTCACTTTAACTCCAGTTTTGAAGGACCATGTGTGGCTGACCTAGCCAGGCCGCAGGAGAGAGGAAAAGACACGATCAAGGGGGGCAGGTGGCTGCCCATTACCCATGGATACTCCTAGCAAGCATTTGAAGAACATCCCTTTTTCCAGAGTCTTCTCTAGCACAGAACTGCCCCCAAGTTGACAACTAAGCTTTCCTTTCCCTAATGGAATGGAGTGGTCCTACTTCTGAATTTACAGGGCTTCTCAAGTTACTTTACTTCTGACTTAAAGCCAGAGGCTTCCTAAAGGTTGGGGGGCAGGTATCAATCTTCCTACAGAAAAAATTTAGGGAACCATATGGTAGTTCAAAAATAATTCAAAGGCTGGGGATGTGGCTCAAGCGGTAGCGTGCTCACCTGGCATGGGCGCGGCACGGGGCTCGATCCTCAGCACCACATACAAACAAAGATATTGTGTCTGCCGAAAACTAAATATTAAATTCTCTCTAAAAAATAATAACAAATAATAATAATTCACAGGAAAACAGGTCCAGAGGCAGGTCCACTTCTAAAGGTCAAAGACATGCACCAGAGGTGGGGCAAAACTAGCCCTGAACTTCCAGAACCCTCCCAGCCTGCCTTCCATGCCCGTGCAGGCAGGATTTCTCAGGGATGGGGCAGAGCTTAAGGAACTCTGTTTTTTGGTAATCAGGGATTGAACTCAGGAGTATTCAACCACTGAGCCACATACCCAGCCCTTTTTGTATTTTATTTAGAGACAGGGTCTGAGTTGCCTAGCGCCTCCCTTTTGCTGAGGCTGACTGAATTCGTGATCCTCCTGCCTCAGCCTCCTGAGCTGCTGGGATTATATATAGGTGTGTGTCACCACACCCAGGTTGAAACTCTTTTTTTCCTTTTTTTAAGTTTTTGATGAACCTTTATTTTATTTATTTATATGAGGTGCTGAGAATCAAACTTAGTGCCTCACACATACTAGGCAAGCGTTCTACCACTGAGCCACAACCCCAGCCCATGGGAACTCGCTTTTTAGCAGCATGAGGATCAGGCAAGAGCTGCATTCCCTGTAGCTCTGCTCTAAGAATGTAAAGGGCATATTCCTATTGGGCCCATACTTTGTTACGATCCTTAGAAACCAATCCAGTTCATCAGCAAGTCCCCCCAAGCAAGAGTGGAAGGGCCACTCTAGGGTGGCAGGGAAAGGCAAGCCAGGGTAAAACAGGGAAAGGCAAACCAGGAAAGGCAAGCCTGGCATGCACAGGGGACTGGCCAACTGAAATACCAGGCTTGAACAAGGACTGGGAGGAGGTGCGAAGGAGGGAGCAACAGTGGGAGAGGAGCGTGGAAAAAAGAAATTGTAAGCAAAATGCAAAATCTTAAATATCTTCCCAGGGAGACTGAATGAAATAAAGGGAAATTATGAAAATTCTCAGCACAGGATAGAGAGCAAGAGGAGGAGGAGGAAAACGACAGAGGATCCATCATGAGCATCCTTTCCTAATGGTGTCTTGAATACAGTTCAGATGTAAAGACCAAAGGAGAGAAAGCAGCTGCAGGGAAAAGAGGCTTCCAAGTAAAGAACCAGAATAACTGAGGGAAGTGAATCCTTTCCAGGGGAACAGAGAGTGAAAGTGGTCTTGTGTACATGACAAGAGGCTGTCCAGATAGACATGAAACACGAACACCTGGGAATCTGGGATCTAACATTTAAGGGGAAGTTACCTTGAGGGGAAAGGAGAAAACAAAAAAACACAAGAGGGTGGGTCGCTTCAGTAAGCCAAATCTGGGTGAAGGGGGATTCTTTACACAATTCTACAACTATTTTAAATATAATTATTTCAAAACTGTAAGAGAAATATATCTTCAACCAAGAGAGAACAGCTTTGTGTATGTTCACAGACCAAGGCAAAGAACCTTTAAAAAAAGCCACTGGCAACAGAGACCATTCAAAAGAAAAGGACAAGGGGCGGAGGTGTCGACAGTCCAGTAGTGCTTGCCTGGCATGCATGAGCCCTGGGCTCAATCCCCAGCACCACCAAAAAAAAAAAAAAAAAAAAGACAGAGGCTGGTGTTGTGGCTCAGTGGTAGAGTGCTTGCCTAGCACATGTGAGGCACAGGTTCAATTCTCAGCACCACGTAAAAATGAATAAAAAATAATTAAAGTTTTAAAAAAAAGTATAAAAGAGGGAAATAGAAATACTACTTCCAATACTAGAGAAAACAGAAATGAAGAGTTCAATTTATATCCAGAATTAGAGCCAGACAGAGTGGCACACTCCTGCAATCCCAGCTACTTGGGAGGTTGAGACAGGAGTGAAAGTTCAAAACCAGCCTTAGCATCTTAGCAAAACCCTTTCTCAAAATAAAAGAGGGCTGGGGTTGTAGCTCGGTGGTGGAGCACTTGCCTCACATGTATGAAGCACTGGGTTTGATCCTCAGCACCACATAAAAGTAAATAATTGTATTTTTTAAAAATCATTTATTAAAAAAAAAGGGATGGGGATGTACCTAATTGGTAAAGTACCTGAGTTCAATTCCTAGAGCAGAAAAATAAAATATGACTAGCAAACAGATAAGATTAGAAGTCATACTGACTGGCATCATGTTGAGAGTTTGGAACAGCTACTAGGGCAGCATGCCAGGCATGGACGGAGAATTACGGTTGGCACTTAATAGGGGCGATGACTGGAGGCTAACAGCATTTGCAGCTGTCCCAGAAATGGAAGAGATGCTCTCCTCTGGGCACATGGGTGCACACCTGTAATCCCAGCATCTCAGGAGACTAGGGCAGAAGATAGTGTTAGGTGCCAGCCTGAGCAACTTAGCAAAACCATACCTCAAAATTAAAAATCAGAAACAGCTGGGGATGTAGCTCAGCAGTAGCGTTCCCCTTGGTTAAATTCCCAGTACCACCGAGAGAGAGAGAGAGAGAGAGAGAGAGAGAGAGAGAAAGCAGCAAGAGAGATGCACTCCTCATTCCCATCCAGCCTTTCATGTCAAGCAAGTGAATCTTAAGACCAAGATGTCCAATTTTGGAAGAACAACAATAACCCAAATGCTCACTCACCCTGACCCAATTTGATTTCTCCAGTTAACTACACTGGCTGACAGGAAGCTATCAGCTTTCAACTCCCATTTAATGTGAGACATCTTGGCAGCTGTCCCTTAGCCCAAGATAGCTCCTCTATGAAGCTGCTGTGGAACTCTTGAGGGCTTCCACCTAAATAGTCACTTTTAGAACAGGGAAATAAGAGGATTCCACATGAAGAACATAAATGGAATATCAGAATCCAGCCCACAAACCACAACCACACAGCCATTTTTCATCCAACATGAGATATTCTTTTTATTAATGAAGTTGAACTTACAGCAAAGAGTGACAGGAGACAGTACAAATAGCCAGGACAAAATACAAAACAATCCATAGGACAAGTACAGGTACCACCCAATAAGAACCATGGAAAATGCCAGGGAGCCCTATGATATAAAGCAGGATTCACCCAAACCTAAAGGCCAACTGGCTCCCCCAGGTGGGACAGCAAAAGGCACATTGGCTCTCTAACACCCTCTGCATGAGCTCCACTTATATGAAAAGAGGAAGGCAACAAGAACATTATGTTTGAGAAGGGAGACTCACAAATCCAGGCTTCAGAGCAAGCCTGTACCTGATGTAACTTCTGCACAACCTTGGTCCATGGCACAACAGCAGGGCATGTTGGTGAAAGTCAAATCTCTTAATAGAGATTTCAAACAGGGACATGGATCCAGATCTTAAAAGATCACTCATTGAAACCAGGAAAACCATACTTAATGAGAAACTGAATGTTACCAAAATGCCAATCAATCACCAGACAAAACATTCTCCCTGGACCTAAACAGAGAACACCAACATACCAAAATAATTTCTGCTCCCATTCATCAATAATGGAGACAAAGAAAGTTGGTGGCATAAGCCTGCGATCCCAGTGACTTGGGGGGCTGAAGCAGAAGGGTTACAAACTCAAGGCCAGCCTTGACAACTTCATGAGATCCTGACTGAAAATAAAAGTAAAAAAGGGCTGGGGCTGTAGCTGAGGAATAGAGTCCTGGGTTAAATCCCAGTACCACATTTGGAAAAAGAGAGAGGGGGAAGAAGAGAAACAAAAGGATTCTGCCACACTGTAAAACATTAAAGGTAAAGTGGTCAAATGTCAAAAGTGCAGAGGTCCTTTTACTAGGTGTTAATGAACTTAAGGATAAAAAAAAAAAAAAAAAAAAGGTGGTTGATCAGTTAACTTTTTTCCATTGTTTTTTGGCTCAGTGAATTCATTTCTTACATGTTGGCTCACTCTCATCAATTCTACAGCAGTTTCTACATTATTCCAAGGACACACAATTACTAATCAAATGGTACCTATTTTTTCACTATAAACTATCTTTGCCAATATTTTTAATGGCAAAAATATGCTAGGTTCTGTCACAATTAATGTACTTTCCCCTCCCTGAGAGGAAACATGGAAAAAAAAAAAGATAGAAAACTCCACCTAAAGAGCAAAAATATAATCATCAATAACTCAACAGAAAAATAAACAGAAGGGAGGGCATTTAGAAGAAAAAGCTCCTAGATAAACCTCTGCACAAAAATAATTGTAGAATAAAGTTTAAAAGTCCTACTTGAGATTCAGGCATCACTTGCTAATGCTAAGGAAATACTGAGGGAAGGAAGCCACTATTAACACAGCTAACTCCCCTCCAGCGAGCGCCACCTTGGACTACCACTTGGCAACACCACCATGCTGTCCTCTCAGGCTTTGCGAATTTTAAGGTGCCCAACTTGAGTCCTTCAGTTCTATGTAATCTGTCAAAAATTTTAAGATGTAATCTGACAGCCAGAAAGGCTTTTTTTTTTTTTTAAAGGTAGTCTTTGACTGTTAGAACTACAGGGGACCCTGAAGATTACTATCAAGATCAGACCATTAGCTGGCAGTAAAAATGAGGTCAACTCTGCTCATGTGACCTTTAAAACAATGCTCTTAACTGGGTACAGTGACTCCTGCTTGTAATCCCAGTGACTTGGGAGGCTGAGGCAGGAGAATCTCAAATTCAAGGCAAGCCTCAGCAACTATACATGGCCCCAAGCAACTTAGTTAAACACCCTAACTCAAAATTAAAAATAAAAAGGGCTGGGGATGTAGCTCAGTGGTAAAGTGCCTCTGGGTTCAATCCCCAGTATCAAAAAAATTAAAACAATGCTCTTCCTACCACACTACCAAAGAGAACTCTGAGCTGGTGACAGTGGCTGGCCTGTAGTCCCAGCTACTCTAGAGGCTGAGATGGGAGGGAGGACTGCTAAAACCAGGGAGTACAAAGACAGCTTCTTGGGCCGTGTCTGAATTTAAAAAAAAAAAAAAAAAGAAGGAAAGAAAAAAAAAGAAAGAAAACTTCAGGTTTGGGTATCCCAAATATTCGAGAAAAAAGCAATGAGACCCAGTAGTTGCTTTAATTAAAAAAAAAAAAAGTGCTTCTTAAAGCTTGGGAATATTAAGTCAGCCACAAATCCTTAGGACTTTTAGTCCTAATGTTTATTTCATTCCACATTAAATTTCAAATCAGGTTTTAGAACTGATAAAAGGGGAGGGGCAAATTGAGTGAGCCTGTAACTACCTGCAAAAACACACGGCTTGCCAGCTGGCATGGAGGCACATGCCTGTAGGCTGAGGCAGGACGATCACAATCTCAAGGCCAGCCTAAGCAATCAGAAAGACCTTTGTCAAAAAAGAAAATTATTAAAAAATTTTTTTAAATTTTTTTAAAAAAGCACATAAGCTTATTCCATTCTCCTAGGCAAGATTTAAAACTTCAAAGTAAAAACAGCAATCATGTATAATTTTATATGTCTAACTCTACATTACTTTGTAGAAAAACATAAAATACAAAAAAAGAGACTATCAGGTTAGAAAATCCTAAAATGCTAGACAGCCTTGAGGTTATGTTGGATCTTAAAATCACCAGACCTACTTCTGAATGTGTAAACGGATCCCATATGAGAAACAAACAATAGAGAAGCAAGCACAAATAGAAAGAAATTTGAAAATCATTCAAGTTTAGATGGGATAAATCATGACAGGCCTTTGGTAAAACTCATTTAGATTCTTGCACTAAATGATGATTTGGGGACAGATCTTACTAGAGGGCTCTCCCTGAAGCTTGTAACCTATGGGAAATGGCCAAAGGCATGTTATTTCTATTTGCTATTTCTCCTGTCAAAGCTTCTTCCTACAGAGTTAAAACCTAAGTACTTTAATTAAAATACAGAAATTATACACTTATGGTTTCACCATTAAAACTTTTCCAAAAATTCCACATGTAAGACATATGCAACAGATGCTAAGAAACATTGTGCTTTTCTTTGAATCAAAAATGTCCGCTAGGTTTGGTGGCACACATCTGTAATCCCAGCTACTCGGGAGGTTGAGGCATGAGTATCCCAAGTTCAAGGCCAACCTTGGTAACTTAGAAAGACCCTGCCTTAAAATAAAAATAAAATAAAAAGGGTTGGGGGTATATCTCAGTGATAAAGCACCCCTGAGTTCAATCCCCAGTATGGGAGTGTGGGGGAGGATGTCCTTCATCTGACAAAAATTAGCCTCTAAAGATAATATCTGCTAGAAAGTGTTCATTCTCCCACTCTTTCTTGTTCCAGCCTCCTCTTGGCTTTTATACATTTAAACTTTATAAACCAAACAAAAGCTCACCTCCATGAGCTAATGAAAAGTCATCATCTGCAGATCCAGGAGGCAGAGTCTAAGGAAGACACTGGCCTCAATTTCTGGCTTTCCCACAACACTGTCATCTTCATTTATTTTGGTAAAGGTCAAAGGGGGGCTCGAGCCATAGACCCTATTTATATGTAGTCCGCCTACTTGTATGTGTGACCTTAAACTTAATTTCAATACTCTATATTTCAATTTGTGAATCATCCATAAGGTTAAGTTTTAAAATAGCATATCTACCTACCAGAAACTAGTGAGAGTCATAAAGCCAGCTTTTAAGAGTTACCCTGAAGGACTGAATCTCACCTATCAAAAATTTCCCACATCTCATTCTTATACCAGAACTGAAAGCTGATCTAAAGACATCAGTAGTCGATGGGACAAATTACTCTTCCTCCTCTGCTCATACCTGTGCCCAGCCAACCAATCTTATCAACAGTACCTGCAAACTGCACAAAAACATTTAAACTAAGCCAGAAAAAGTAAAGGGAGAATATTCCCCCCCCCCCCGCACTTTCAGTGCTGGAAATCAAACCCAGGATTGGACATGCTAGGCAAGCTCTCTAACAGTGAGCTACATCCCCCACCAGTTCAGAAAAATTTTTTAAAAGTCAGTCAAGGTATAGATTTCCAAACTGCTAAAATAGATATTTTACAATTCTAAATCTATCTCTTGAGGCCATTTACAAAGTTTTAGGCTTTGGTGGTCAGCCTGATTTGCTTTTGATTGGTCACTGCACTAAGAACTGCCTCTTCCAACCTCAGAAACGTGCCCAGGAAGGCATCTTCACTACACATTCAGCACCAAGGAGCCTCCAATGCAAAAGACATGAGGCCTATTTAAATTTTATG